ATATGCAGATTCTACCCTATTTTTTACTACAACTTTTTCATTTCTACCTTAAGAGCGCCCGTGCCAGCATATTGTAGAGAGCAAAAATCTCCGTTGTCAGCCCATATCATCCTTAAAGCTTTCTCCAGACATTCGTTGTCATCCACCTCGGTTGCGTTACTAATTATTCCGTGAGCGACTAACTGGCTCCCGAGGCTGCGACGCGCCAACAAACTTTGAACTACGTTCGTTCGATCCAGACAATCGATACAATTTGTGCGGAAGACTCCAGTCTGCTGCCGTGAGCGGACTTTCACCTGGGATGACTCATCTGAGATATAACAAAATCAACACTTGTTAGAGTGAAGTATCTTTTAAGTTAAATATAGTTCAAATTTTGTTATGCACTTGACACAGCGAACAACTTTTCCTTTAGCTACACGATAACAGACTGCTTATAAAACATTAACAGAGTTAAAATTGCCCAGTTTATCCTAAATTCCGATGTAGCAAATTTAGAATTATATTCATAGGCAAACGTATCACACATGCGAGTGCTAGCTATTTATTCCAAATTCCGCTATTGAGGTAGAACGAACCATTAAATTCCATATAAAAGCTAAACGCATCCTGTGAGTCGGCCACGCGGTCGATAAGAATCTTTAGTCGGTCATAGCGCATTCCCTTACATTCCGTATGGAAGTCGTAGGGCTCGTACCGAACCTAGAATTAATAGTGTACATACGAAAGTTATCCACAATGTCGCACAGCAAACTATTTGGATGCATTTACGACTACTTTTTTAGTTACTTCTGTTTCTGTAGAAACTAATTTGATCTATCAATTATTTTACTTGGAAATAAAATGTATTGCTGAAAAAGCAAAATATAGTAAACTTTATCCATACAGTTTTAGTAGTTTTTAATATCAGTAACAATACAAAGAGGACTCACATTTGAATTTTCCATGACAGTAAGGCAACGCGCCAATTCATTGCCCAAAACATTTTCCGCACCTTTCTGGTCAATAAGATTTAATACAACCTAAAAGTCGTCAACATACACCGTTTCTGATTTAGTATTATTATTACATTTTAATGTGGTTCATACCACCAAATATTGCAAACTGAATTAGGAACCTCAAACTACGGTAAGTTATAAATCGAGCTATGAGCTGTTTTTTCCATCATTGGGCCGCCTCCACACTCGTTCCTTTCTTGCTCAATTCCACTAGTTTCCTCAGGAAAGAAAACCATAGAAATGAGTTTACTTCAGCACTATTTTGTTTTCATAAGACGTGTTTTATCAGTCAAGCTTTGACATAAAACATAATTATAAATCTATAATTTAATATATCTATAATTTAATAATCTCTGCAGTACGCCTTATACGCCTATACGTATAAGTTATACTCGACTTAGAATGCCAGATATACCAATACCAAGCGTACTTTTTGTAGAAAGGGGTCTCATTATCATTGGGATAAACATATGAACCTAAACCAATCATGGATTGCACCCAAAAATAATATTTAAAAGAATATAAAAATATAAAACCATTTCAAAACAATTAGTATACGCAGATGATCTCTTTAGAGAAACATGCCTGTTTTCCGTACGTGACAATTTGCTGTTCGAAATGCTTACGGACAACTTCTTCTTGCGGCCCAGAGATCAACATCGGTGGAGGTTTGTACCTAATTATGCAATATTAAATGAAACCTCAATTTAGAATAATACATCAGAGCATATCAAATGTACTTAAGATACCTGTAAGTAGTTATCCTTATGTACAGCATAGAAATATGCATTTCCAATATTAGTTTGTATTTGGTCATTCAATAGTCATGTGGCGACTCCCGATCCGCAAACTCTGTCTCGTTAGATGCTCCATTTAGTTGCTACTTCGAGTAATAAAAAAGAAGGTTGTCATCATTTTCGGTGCTATGCTTCATAGGATATAGTTGCACTGAATAATGAATTACCTGAGGTCAGGTAGTTGTTGCCACAAAAGAGGTATCGAGCCACGCGTCTGCACCAGCGAGCTTCGTCCTTTTGCCGTCTCAATAATGATTTCAGTTTCGACAAAGTTAGCCACATTACCTTCAAGGTCAGAGCCACGGGTATTAAACCTTGTACCAGCCCGTTGTACACTTCGTCTTGAGATTAACGTATAATTGAAGTTCTGGCCATTTTTGAGTGACAACTGCTTCTGTATAACAAAGCCGTGAAGTAACGGAATAAGGAACTTCTGTAGCTGGCTCTCTCCAGTCGCCCATTCGGCTAACAATTGTTGATTCCACACGAAGCGCGAATCAGCCCTGGCATATAGAGACATCTGGCAAAATCCTGCTGTCGTCTTGTCGCGTCGTTGAAGTGAGTGCGTTATGTCAAATTTAGTCGAATAATAAAAGTAAGGAGTTCGTAAAACCTGCCAAACCATTTGTAAATAGACGGCATTTGTCAACCGCTGCTCCTCGGTAAGATGTACATCACTGCGAGCTAATGGGAGTAACTGCCAACCATCGATACGGTAAATAGCTTTGCCACCGACGCTGGCCACCTGCAAAAAAGCGCCATAGGAGAAAGCTCACTAATTTAAGAGATGACTGTGTTTGCACTATTGCGAACGTGGACCGAAAAGACAGCAAGCGCATGCTTAACTAAGTAACGCAAGTGAAAGTTAGTGGTTACGATGCACATAACATTGCCATCTGCACAGAAATTTATTGGTGCGTTGTAAATAGGAATTTACGAACTTTCGTGCGTGCCGTCATAGCGATAACATGACCACCATCAAGAAGCTGGACGAGTCCGGCAAAGCCAAAAACGTGTTGTTGTTTCGGCGGTACAATAACAGATGCACCTTCAAAGAGTTTCTCTGTTAAGCGATCCACCCGAACCTCGCCACTTAACCTGAAAAGGTAAACTTTTCATGAAGAGGAGCATGTTGCATGTAAGCTTTTTAAAATCACCCTATAAGGGTTTTTTTTCCACGCAGCATTATAATTATGTAGTGATATTTGTTATACTTTTGCACGCAATTAAAGTCATTCAACTTGGTACTCACTAGGTTTTCGAGAGTCTTGACGTGAAAACGTCGGTGAGTAAAGAAATAAAAGCTACAAAATATATACTCTACCATAATCTTTTCTTCAATATTCGCGGTGAATACTGAAAAGCAATGTTAACCAGTCATCTTTCTCGCTAATATCAGATACGACTATTCGGTTAGGCATGTATGATAATTATCGCGCACTCAACCTAAAATTTCCTCTAACTTTGATAAGGTTCAATTAAAGATCAACGAAGTGTAAATTCAGTAAAAACTCCAGTTTTCAGGACACTCTAACCCTACGTGTTAAGAGTCTAATATTATTATGTTTGTTCAACTGTCACGCCCGAGAAAAGCAGGGTAGTATCAGATGTTATATTTATCTTATGTGTAGTAATCGATACCTATTTCGAGGTTTGCTTAGCAATGGTGCAAGATCTTAGATCATAATCATTTAAGGGACTTCATAACAGCGAACGCTATGCAACATTTTACGCGAGAGCTGCATGTATGACATCGTCGCTTCATCTCTCCAAAAATGGAGAACAAATAAGGTGTCATCGCAGAATAAGCCCAATTGAGATTTTTTTTTTATCTATTCGCATATAAAAAACATTTAACCATTAACTATGTAGATTGATATTACACTTCAGAAAGATGTTAATTTTATGCCATGATGTTCGTTGAGTGAAGCAGAGTCACAAAAATCTAGCAAAGCCATAGTCATTTAATTATATAAAGTGCAACCCTAAATTATTTTAGAGAGACTTAGGCTGAGAACTTTCGGGTTCAATGCCTGGTATAATAATATCTAGTTACAGTAAATCTAAGTTAATTGAACTACACGGTCTAGTGCATTTTTATTTGTTGTTCTCAAGTGTGTATCATTTATTTATCCCTACGATCGGTACAATGAGCTACTAAGAAAAACGCAGTCCACATGGAGCACTGATCTGTAGACCATTCTGTGGCTCGAATCGTTTTTACTTCGATTATTATAACAGAGTGTCGATGAGAGTAAATTTCGTAATACATGTATTAAAGACCGCTTAAACTTATGAGCTTATTGAGCACATACCATTGTTACGAAAATGCCAAATCTGGCACATTAACAAATACTTTTTTTCTTTCCACCTCTGTGACAAATTACTTTGCTTTTTGTTATAAGTGCTTTTCAGACCCATAAACTTGCGTTGGATTTTTCGGATTTTCGGATCCAGTTGTTTACTACTATTTGTTACAACATATTTTCTACGTCGACTATCTTCCACCTACCTGTCAATGACCAATGTCTCGGATCCACCTGCTACCTGCAGTGCGTAGAGCTGTGAAGTGCTGTATAGTACATATGAGTCGCTAAGCTCCATGGTAGTAGCACCAGACCACTACGTCCACCACGATTAACGTCTTGTTCAGCTGCCCAGCTACAACAATTGATCTCATTCACGTTTCGTTGATCTTCGGCACCAGACAGATACCTCGTTTATGAAATTATATCGTTTGTTTTTCAGCGGGCAGTTCATTTACTTTCGAGAATAATAGTCGATTCTTTCCAACCTGTGTATGCTAATATTGCTTGTAATCTACTGATGGGCCACAAATACAGTGCGTAATTTCGACTCCTCGAAAAAAGGCTGCCTTCTGCCTTCGATACGAAACACCTACCAGTTATGAACAGGTACACAGGATTTTGGAAATTCCTTCTCAGTGGTTGTCCGTTGGCGGTTGTCTGTCGAAGCCACCAGCACAGTCTTAACGGAAAAAATACACTAACTATCAATGCCGTATCAAACAGAGGTAGAAGGACGATCGAGCCTTGCTCTTATGGTGTTAGACAGCAGCCCTCAGTTTTTTGTTCCAAATCAGCAATGTTTTTATTGATGAACGCATTACAAGGACTCGACTGTCGACAACTACCTGAGCGGGCTGCTGACTACATGGGTTAGACGCAGGATATTCATACATAGACATAATGTGACATGCTGCTTCGGATTGGCACTGGCCTGGTACACAAAAGATGTATGCATCTATCAGACTTGCCACGAAGCGTATGGTGTTTTTATATTTCTATTAAATAACGCAAAAAGAAGATTTGCCTTCTGAGTACTAATCACGTTTTTTGAATCCTTGAGAAGGGTGACTAAACAGAGGGTGGACGAGATACGGAAAAATTTAAATACGTTGTATAGTGATACAATGCCACTTAGGAGAGATTGGCTACGATAGCCTTGGATATTTTTTTTGGAGATACATTACTGGCGATTCACAGTACTTTTCGTGATCAGTTAAACACCTAGAATAGGCTGACGAAGAGGTTAACGAATCACGCATCGTCCTAGTAAGACGTATTTCACAGCCAACGTGCAATTAATATTGGTCACTGTTTGATAAATGCGCTATCATACGAGGAATAAGAAATTCTAAAAAATTGAAACTCGTACCTTTCAAGTACTATATATACACACAAATATGCTATTTGGAAGCTGTAGTCAGCAAATCTCGACCTTCTGCCAAAAATCAAATGTTAAGCCAATCCAATTTCAGTCGTATATGTATTACACGAAGACAACAAGTAGCCAGATAGGTAACTTAAATACCGTTTTAAGTCAACCCTTAAATGCCTGGAGTGCCTCAGAACTTCAGACTCTGGAGTTCCTTTGGGTTTTACTATTATGAACCTAGGAACAAGAAGCTTCAAAAGAGCATAACTCCCCGAAAATTTCCATATATTTTTTATGTATACTGCCAAAAAAAAACGTTGTTGAACTTTGAGAGAGGTGTCTACGCGGAATTTCCCCATAGACAGGCGATTAAAGCAACGTAACACATAAAATACAATAATGCGTGTACTAGAAGAGCTTTCAGAAGTGACTAGTGAGTTTCGAATACTTAGACTAGTTTAAGTGGTTTGTTGAAATAGAATGTGACGGCTAAGATTTCAGGACATGACACACTATCCAAAGGAAGTGGAGGAGTTTTTCATAACAAACCATGTTAAGTGTTAGTTTCTTTATTTAATCCCACTTGTCGTGTAGTATATGCCATTGGCAAGGCTCAAACTATAAAGGATTTTAGAATTAGAGAAAGCCTTTCAAATAATACCTAACCCCATAACGACCTTTAAGATCGGACAACTTTTTGAACAGCCTGTACATATCTCATACGCATTTATCTTGATCCAAGCACAAGCCGTTAATTGATCTAATTGTTTTCCCAATAACTTGATACGAAATGTCGGAAAACTTAATAAAAACACAAAACGTTTTCACCGAATCAACTAACTGTTCCGTTTTTATTTTTCGACTCCGCGCACCGTTTTCGCTAATTTACTTAAATAGCAAACTGGATACAAATAGGTATTATTGATATCGTCTGTGGTGTATTCCATTCAATAGAAAAAAAGATGATTCGTATGTACCAGAAATGCATAACTCATAGTAAACAACGCTATCTTTTAATACAACGAATAATGCCACGTAATATTACTCGTTTCTCACCGAAGACTTCGTATCATTTTGAGTACATTCTCTTTTTGTAGTTTGTGATCCTCAGGCCAAAATCTGCGATATATTATTAATACAAGGCGCGTTGCTAGATATCAGGTTGACAATATCATCTATACTCCTGTTGTGTCTTCCCATTCCATTTATTGTACGGCGAATCGTTCTAAGGATTTCCGCTTTACGTTAATTTCTAGCTTTTGGCAACATTTGATATACATATCTACTATGGTAAGGGAGAAATATCATAGGCCCCATTCGTCGTCTTCCTATCGTATCTTCCATTAGGAGAACGAAAGACTTCGAAGGATAAGTCTACCTGACTGCTTGCAATGAAATGCATTCATTGCTATACTTTCATAGTGATCCATATGGTGTTCGGGTTACTAAGATATCTCCGTTTGTACAAGCAGACACCAATTAAACTGATCTGCTTTTAACTAAACAAAGATTTTTCTGTATGTAGTATAGTAAAACAAAAATTTCATTCAACTTATCCTATTACCTCCTAGGCACAGTGACTGCCGTTGAGCGCACCTCACGCAGTTATCTTTCACATGCTTCACAGACACCCACTGACCGTCATTTTGTTTCCAAACGTCCAGCGCTCTTCGCCTACGTACTGAGATGTAGCCTCCGGGTAACCTACGTCACACGGTCGGTTTGTGTGCCTTTTGCCTTGCGTTACTTGCGCCACGCGTCGTCGGCCCTCAACATCGCGGTGCTCAAAAGTCAAAAACTGACTGAAACGGAGAACGCCAGATCGTCACGAAACGAATCTAAGTGAATTTATATCAGTGAATTTATTTACTGTCAGTATCTTCATCAATTCGTGTTGGTAAAACTTTAGATGTATGATATATATTGACGCTATGCTAAGAATTTCAGACATATACGTATGGATATATAGAAGGATGGTGTTCTGAGAGAAATATGAAACAGTGTTTCAATATGTCATAGTTTACTAAACATGTTCATTGCTTTTAAAACATTGTGTCAGTTTATATAACTTAGGACAACTACGTTGATTTCAAATTTTTCAGAAATGGAAAATGATAACATCGATATTTGGATAATATTCTGTAATGTATTATAGTTTAGAAAAATGTTCCCACGAAAGCGATATTGTACTATTTCTGTCTCTTATTTAGAGTTCTTCACTATTTGCAATTGCTAACTTCTTGAATTTTATGTTGAAGATGGATGTTTCCAAGCTTTTTGTCAGCAGATGAATATGCAAGCTTGTGTTGTTTCTAACGGTTTTGACTGTCTGACGGTCTAAATGAAAAGTTACTCATCGGCGATTATTCTCAAATAATTAACATCTGTGGATCCATCTATAAAACGCAAACAATAGCTAGATACGCATAGATAGAAACTGAACACTAACGTTTCGAAGTTCTGTAATGTTATCCGCTCCAAATGCGTTTGAAACTGTTCCCCGACAAAACGCAAGTGAACCCAGTCGACACGTTTACACAAAAGTAACCCATTCGTTTATGATTAACAGTGCCGTTGGTGTCACTGCGAAGCAAGGACCCTTTTTATGCACTGATTTCGACGCGTGCTCCGCAGACCCTTCGTGCAAAATAGCGTTCGTTTATCGCAGCATTGTCGCTCCATTTAGTTGCTTTGTTCACTTGCTGTCGACAGCTTACCACCTTATGTAATATGGATCCCCTTGCCTATGGCCACCTGTCGTAGATATCTTGTCAATCGTCTTACGACAGGGATTAGACAGGTAGTATACTACATCGGTCAGTGTTCCTCTGTACTGCCCTCGTTGACACGGGCCGCAGCAATGTTTCGAACGTACGCTGTGAATTGATTCAGTCCGATCCTGCGGCGATTCTCTCTTTACCTCACGAATTTCCTTCAGATTTACTCGATCACGCACCACTGATTACTGCTACCACTGCATTAGTGCTATTGCTAACTAGATAGATCTCGATTGTTGTAGTTTATTTACGACTCTTATTCACTATTGTTAGTCTATCAGCGAGATCAGAGTGATGGTCGTATTACCGTCCGCGAAGTCAGATTATGCTTAGCTTTCAGACAGTGGCCGCCAAGCATTGAACGTAATATAAAGTTAGCTTGACTAACCTATGTTTCTTACTTTACTGCCACAGATCGTTGGCGGAAACTGCACTGAAAAAATTGAATTCTGTTGTTATTTGGCCAGCAAGCTTTTGTTCACTACCCCAGCTCCCTGTACCTATAGTGCAGGACAAACGATTAAGGCGTTAGCAGTTACTACAACTACTGATATAGCAAACAAATCATCTACCTATTTTAGGTAGATTTAAAGCTTGACTTCCCCGACACGACTCCGTAGGAGGCCGAAAGTACGTGCTTCGTAGGATATAAGTATATAAAGAGCCGGAATGATAATGCCAAAAAAATGTGGTTTCACATTGTTCGGTTCTTGTAGACAGACAACGTCAACACGGCTAGTTCTAAAGAACTACGCAACCAGTAAGTTGTTTTGCCAGTGCTATACTTGTAGCCGAACTATAATAATAATGCTAATAATAATAAGATCTAGTCAATCTTACGTAAAATTGTTTGATCGGAGCTGTGCAGCTCGCGAAAATCGTGTATCTTATTACATAACCGATTGCGGGCGGCGATCAGAAGGGGAACCGATTTCTCAGTAACAACGATACTATCTGCTTTGTTCTTTGCTGACTAAGCGGTCACTCAATGGTGGGGTCGGAGGCTTGTGAAATCGTACGCTGTGGGACCGTGTTCAGACATAACGGATTTGTACAGATGTGCGTCATGCAACCCTGAAGTACAACTGTATTGTACATTGAAAAAAGTAGTGCTGTGTGTAAACTGATGGACTGATCTTTGCATGTAACAGTTGGACCTCTCTTTGAAGAAAACAAAGAAATCATCGGCTGTAAGCAATGGCATTATTACATTACGGTAAGTGGCGAAGTAATACTTGAAAGTTAATGTTTTTGGGTGCGACACCAAGTTCTTAGACATTTGTCGTTTTAATTTCCTTTAGTCTAGTTAATTAAAATCAACTCCTAATTTTTTTTGTTCATTGTCTTATTTAGTTTTTTTTAATTGATATGACTTACGCTGTGCTACCTCGCGGCTGCTGTAGAGAAAAGACGCAAAAACAGGTTCCTTCTTTTTCATTTTCCCACTTTTAAAACAATGTTCCCGATTAAATTTCGATAATACATTTTTTTTAATACAATATATTTAATAAAACAATTTGTTATGAAAACACGTTCGTAGAAATACGCATTGAATGTTACGAATCATAAGGGGTAACCTATCTTATTTGAAATTTTTTTCTATTTTCGATAAAGAATACACTGAATAGCTTGGAACAGACGCTGTTCATGCATCAAATGAATTTGTCTGCATTTTAATAATTAAATGTTTAGCGTAATTTGAAGGCCAGCATGGTAGTTAGGAGGTTAGCATCCTCACACATGTTTCCAAAGGCTGATAAATGCGTTTGAGGATGTGCGTTTATAAGTAACTCTAGAGACGTTAACTGAAAAAGCTTCACATGGGTTGAATTTCATAAATTTAAACCAGGCGTTCTGTACCACATTGATCCGTGCTATTTGTGTTTTAGTGTAAGTTTGATGTGTCTTTAGATCTATTCTTTAACTATCAGTAAGCCCAGAAAATGTTCAACTTTAGTTAAGTGCGCTTTTGTATAACATAATATATATATATATATATATATATATATATATATATATACATATAAATATAAATTTTTCCACATTGTGTGACCTTCTGCAGGTACTTTTCGAGTAAAACAGATAAGTAGGATTTGCTATGCTTTTATGTTCCATTAGCGGTAATACGAGCACCCCTGGCATTTTGTTAGTGTTATATATTCTTATATTTACAATAATTATCCGCGCCAATTTTTACGGACGTGTCAGTAAATTAAAAATGTCGAAAATGCTATTCGTTTCTTATTTTACAATATTAATGTTTCTTCTAGTTAGATCCTCATGAGGTGACAAAGCGCCATTGATAGTAGACGACACAATGCCCCATATAAAGTCACAGTTGCCTACATTAAAGCATAATCTGTATTTTAGTCTATTTCTGCGTATGTGTTCACCATATAAAGGTGTTCAATATCAAATTTGATTGATTTTACTGGATTTTTCATGTCAGTTTTTCTTAGCAATAAAATAAGCTTAGCTAGGTTTTTTTTCATCTTTAGCTCCAACTTTATCGTCAAAATAAAATCATTGCTGGCCTTAGAGACAGACCATTGAACTACCGCATTATTGATAATTAATCGACCTCTCATAAGGAGTGCCTGTCGATTTAATTTTGCCCGGTGTCGATTAGGCTTGAGCCATCCAGGAATACAGTAGTAATTACATTTACTTTTGCTACCGTACACCTGAAAACGTAGAACCCCGAAACTCATACAAAACTTAAGAAAAATTACACACAAAGCTACGCGACTGACCGTCTGCCTTCCCTTAAAACCCACTCAACCGTGTGAAAGTATACCGTTTTGCTATCAGGTGATTAAAATTAATCCGGCGTCACTCCGATCGCAAAAGGCTTTATGTAAAAAATCTGAAATTCTACTATAAAAAGGAGTGGTACAGCCATTGATAGCTAGCGTTGAAATCTCCGTGCGAAGCATACAAGTACGTCTTTATGCGAATGTTTGAAACGTCATGAGAGAATAGAGAAAAAAAGCTTACTGATGTCGGAGACAACTAACAAGTTCCGGTTGGATGGATTAGATGCGCCGAAAACTTTTCTACGGTAGGTAAAAAAAAAAAGATAGATTCGACCATCAACAGAAGGTTGGTCACGTAAGTATCAATGTAACCTTGTCGTAGCGTCTGTTAGGGAATACACGACAAATGTCCACAATCGGCACTGTTTGATCATGATTTCACCTACTGGTAGTGTTTGCAGTTTTTCAACTGGCGTCCATTTACCGAGCCAGCTGCACTGTGCAGAGGCCAGTATCGTTATTTGTCGCCATATCGCCAGGACTTCCTCGTCGACAGCATAATACCCATATTCGAGAAGTGGCTGTTCATTTCAGCGGGCTCAATACGTCCCTTGTAAGTGTGTGTCAACACATTAAGAATTAAATTATCGTCAAGTCTAACTTGAAGCTTTAGCAATGGTTTATATCTTTGATATCTGTCCCTTACAGTTATTTGTTTAGAAACCAGCAAGTTGTCAAGTCGACAGAGTATGAAGCAGATGATAGCATACGCAGTTATTTGGCGGAGAAATCTGCTTCTCCGAAAAAAAGGTCATACCAGTGTAGTACAATCTAAATCGCTGCAGAGTATGTATGTGCTGTCTATCTGAGTTCTACGGTGACTGATGCCCCTATTGGTGTGTCAGGGTATGCAGAAGATACTGATAACCGAAAGGCTGAAATAAAATTTTTGATAATGAAGTATTTTGTAAGTACGCAACGTTACCTGCATACATACATAGGGGTGGATGACCCTAATTGGGTCGTCCACTTGGCTACAAAAGAAAAACTCTTCACTTTATTACAATAATAAAATGTGTGTATTTTTTAGAATTTATAGTTATAATACCTGTCTTTATAAAGTCTCTCTCATATGAAAGTTAGTGCCTAAAAACCTTTCGCTGTTAAACTTAGTATTCTGCTGATGTTGGTTGTGCTTAATACCATTCTAATACAGTGACGAGTTGCCAAGTCTAGAAAGGGACGTGCGCTGTCCTGCGAAGCACGGCAAAAGATTTCTAGTGGAACTATAACTTCGCCAAGATGGAAATTACTCAGCCTATACTCTTGATGCGCTTTTGCGCGTTTGCGTCACATTCTAAATCCTAAAACGTAAGACTAAAACTACCACACCTGTAAGCTAGACCGTCGTAGCGCAATTGTAGATCCTCCCTAACACATCATTAATAATCAAGGACTGTTTTATGTTTTTGTTATTCTAATTATCTGCTTGTAACACAAAATGTGCTTCAGTTTATTTCAATATGGAGCTCATTAGATTGCTTCCGTTTATTGTAATGTTTACCTATGGCTAATACTAAAGGTCACTGATGGATGCTTGGTACTTGCGCGCGATTGGGAATTCAGATCGATCTTAAAACGAATAAACATTCACGATGAACTTGAGGATGACGAAGACCCTACTGAAGGACGAATCTTTACGGGATACGTCATACCACCGGTAAGATAACGGCATTTCGTGTCATTCTGATTGTAGAACGTATAAGACACGATCTACGCGTAAAGATTAAATCATTAACAATCTCGCAATTTGCAGGCGAACTAGAATAGAAGCCCTAATAAAAATAGTAGCATAAAAAGGAATTATTAAATGTACTGTGTGATTTTTCGCCTGTATGATTAAGTCTGCTTTTTACTTTGATTTACCACCAAGCTCATATATCTTTGGGTAGTATTGATAGTTCTTATCTATCGACACAGCAAAGGAAATGTCCAGGTATAAGATGTCTATAGAGATCATCTCTACAAGTTAAGCACTGGGGAATTAGAAATCTGAATGAATCGTATAGCTTCCTGACCTGAAGAGTTATTTATTACTACACTGGTAAATTATACCAAGATTAACACCTTACCGTATTGCTTGGTTTAAAGAGTAATTTTAGTGCTCAAATTGTACCAACCGACTGCATCGGATATTTCATTCGTTTGGAATGGAGATCCACGATTATCGCTGAGAGCTGTTTGCGAGTTTATCCAGACTGGATGGGGCAGCTTGTTGATCAAGAACCTGCCGCTGGTGAGTTTTTGATCTAATTTTTGTTGTATTCAGGGTTCGAAAATGGACAGCGATGCGCGAATGCTTTTCCGTATAGCATATCATGAATCTGGCAGCATCCAGCAGCTGTTGAAACAAGAAAATAAGCCTTACCATTTACTTTGTGAGCCCTATTCTTTAAATACACTAGGATCGTATTTATAACAAGATTTTCGACGTTTAACTCAGATATTATTGTAATTAGTGAATAAAGGGGCCGATGCACGTTACTGATTGGGAAATACTCAGTGCTAAATTTGCTTTTTGACTAACTTTCTAAATCTTTAGACTGTCCACTTTATGGGCCGCGTCAGCTGTGGCTTGTAAAGAGCTCGGCTTTTAACTACGATACTTCGGTTTTCTGTTTACTAGGGCACCATGGACCCTTCCTGTACTGAAAAAGCTGCGGCTGTATATAAGCTTTTCCAGGCTCCTGAATACAGTAATCGGATATATGGGCATATTTACTATTCACTTTGGGATTCATCTTCATGGTTATAATTATTTCACGCATCTTTCTCTCATAATATGTACTTCGTTCACGTTTATGGCCTACAGTGGCCTAACGTGGATAGACGTCGAATGCTCGTTCCTAATGCTTTTTCCTATTAGAAACGATCGCCTTTCATTATTCATAGATCGATAACTATCGAGACTTAACGTCGTTCTCTTACTCCGAAATTACAGTGCTATACAATACCTCAAAAATATTCTCTGTATACAGAGTGCTCAAAACAGAGTAGAACATATGTAGCGGCTTCCCCTACTGGGCGTGCATTCGCCCGTATAGTCTTTTGAGAGTAAAAAGCTTTTTAAATTTATTTTTTGAAACAAGACCGCAAGCACGTAATAATGGAGAAACAGATTTTAGTTACCCAGAAGATTTGTAACAGACATTAAATAAAAAAAAAGTTCAAGAATTGATCTAAAACGTCACTTCTGGTAATCCGGAAGTATTAATACGACTATTAGAAGTTGTTTTCTAGAGGAGAGTATTTATCGCCAGCTGGTTAGCCCAGATGAGTTCCAGTAGTTAGCCTGTTTTCCGATTTCTTGCGCTGTGTTGCAGCCTTTGCGCTTCTTGGCACTTTTGGCCTATTGTTAGCCCAGAATTTAAATTCACTGGATTCTGACATTTGTAAACAAGTCTCAAGCAAACGTGTCTACGTAGAACAGTACTGTTTTATTCGGAGTTGTTATTAAATCATTACATGCGATTGTAGAAAAGAATTTATGAAAATGACTGCTAAACAGTTGTGTTGAAGTTCAAGCTGAAGCATAGGGAACAAAAATTGCATTATACATATTAGCATGTCAGTAAAACATACTCGTACCTCTAGTGCGGTGTACGCTGACGTACGCACAATACAAGCGTGTGCTAACGATGCCCTGCATTGTTTAGCTTTCCGTCAAGAATAATTATTTTGGCATAATATGAGGAGATCAAACTATTCTAGTAATCATGGTGTATGAAGGGCGTTGGGACTCAGAACAGCAGTATAACGAGTTCGATTTTTCAGATGAGACTCGGTTATTTTTATACAACTTTTCTGTTCTTTCTTAATTATTACACCCATTATAAATTTGAAATTGGTCTGACCGCGCCACAGGCAGTTATCAAAATGTTTCAGCTTGAAGGATCATACAAAAAGCCGTTTTGCTAACACCAATCTTCTGATCCCAATTAACTACATGTAGGCGAACGAGTTCATCAGAGCGTCTGTAAGTTAATACAGATAAACGCTAACACAAAAACTTTTATGCGATAAAAAATGGCAACTCGAACGGCGTTTGACTAGCCTTCATACTATTAACAATTACCGATGCAGCTGGAATATTTATTTTATCAAGGGGACCGTCAAACATGTACGCATAGCAGAGCTCTAATCAGTAGATTTTGCCTTTTTCAGGCTACCAATTTACACAAAGATTATTTTGATTGCTGTTTTGATTCCTGCTAATCTTAAATTCTACATGTAAACAAATTTAGTGCTATAGTGTGGTTCACGTTTTCAGGAAACCTTACGCTAAATTACCTTGCAATACCAGGATCGCACAACGCTGGCGCCTACAAGGTGTACGAGCCTCATGAAGAATCTTTCATCACATGGTTCGCAAATGTTGTTAATAGAATTCTCTTTTTGTAAGGAGAATTTGCAAGATATGCTTTACACCGGAGTTCGAACCAGCGATTATTAGCCGTCAATAGAAAAACATCTTATTAGTTTATTTCTCACATTTTCTGAATCTAGTATTACAGTTTGTATATATTTTTCATTCGTTTATGAATGTGCTTATGATATATAATTATTAAGTCTTGCAAATATCACTAGCAAACTAAATACTACGTAGACAAACATTTATGTTGTTCGAGTATATAACTGTAGTTAGTATAGCAACTGATATCTGTTCAGGTATCGCGATTGCCAAGAGGAGGACATTTACTCACAACTCGTATATGGAAGCCGTTTTCTCGATATTCGGCCAGGATTAGTCAGTACAAATAGTGAGTACCAGAAGAAGCAGTCAAAGATGCTCTGGTTAAAAATTGCTAAACTTTCCGCTTGAAGCTTTTACTTACTGATTATGCATCTGAGATTGTATGTGGCTGATGATGTCTTAAAGGTTGGAGTGTTTTGTGTATGAGATGATGAACGACGCATTCAACGTTTACGGGTCTTATCGTTTGCAAACATAATTGTCAAGAACGAAATAGCAGATGACACAGCATGTTTTGCCTCTTTTACAATTCCACAGAAGTAGTTGATACAGTGTATCTGTCGACACGCCAATAGTGCAAATTTCATCCATATTAATCGTCATGCACTTTATTTCTTAGACACAAAAACGTTCTGGGTGTTTCACTCGGCCATCCGAACGGACAACAGATTGCAAAGCGTACTTCACGATGTTAAGAAATTCCTTGACGAACATAAACGTGAGGTAAGGAAAATAGAGAATTAAGAAATTTTAGGTAATTATGGAAGTGATTCAATTAGAAACTTGCTTTATCTAAGGTGCTATTAAAAAACTAAAGCTATATGAAAAAACTGTCTTGAGCATTTATGCAAGCGGGCTCTTGATGCCATTTGGCAAGGCGCGCGTATATGAAGGCCTTAGAGACTATGAAAGTTCAATCATTCATACTTATAGGTGATCTTCATCGACTTCCACGAATTCCCATGGGGCTTCAAAACGTCAGCGGATTATACGTCATTGGGAGATTTTGTCGAGAAACATCTTGGTATGCATTCGATAATCGAATTTGTTTGGATAATCGGACGCTGTTTGTAATAAAGTGTTCAAAAAATGGTGCTCAGCCCATAAATCTAGAATTGTAATTGCAGTTAACCTTACATACAACATTGAATCCAGACGCTAAGCCTTGTCCATTTATTTTGTGCCACGAACAGGACCTTACATTTTGCAGTATCGTCCCCATATGATCACGTTGTCCGAGACAGTTGCATTAAATCAAAGAGCTGTGGTCACATTCTCACAGGATGACAACCTCGCGCGTAGATTCCTACCTGGCGTGTACCACGCGTGGGCAAACACCGACAATCTACAGGTAATCATCGTCTATGCATAGTTAAGCATGCATAGATATGTACGTATTTTTTTTTTGATGACTGAAACAGTGACATAGCTCTCGAACCGCACCATTATAAATACCGTCTGACACATATAAAGTCAATTCCTTTTACCATTTGTGTAGGGAGTTTATTTTTAGGTGCAGTATTCTGTCATTAGTTATTTCTAAGCATATTTCGCATTGATTCTTGAAGTTGTAAGGCAAATAAGATTTTCGGCATAGAACCTGTGTAGAATGTTCTGGCGCCTTTGGAGCCAGAGATTATAATATTGTTGCGAGTGTGACTGCCAGGAGAGAAACGCACATGTTCATGCTAAACGTTATATAACTAACAACGTGTTGACAAAAGTCAATCCTAAGTAAATAACGTCGTTAAATAATTAGACTAGCCTATAAGTGAACACCGCCTGGTATATAGCTGAACTAGCTTGGCGACAGACTCATAATTGATGTGTAGTAAATAAAGAGAATCATCATTTATGACCAAAGGCAAATGATCTAACACTAACCTTTAGTACGGTAGAACATAATCCTAGTGTCGAACATAGAATAGTTTCAATTATGTTAGCTATAGCCAAGGGATATTTCAGCATCCGGGCTAAATGGCGTAAATACACGTGTGTATCGTTAAGGAATAGAATTTTACCGTCTTAGCCTTCAGTTTGATCTCAAGGGTATCCTATTCACCGGTTCACAAATGAAAAGGACAATAATAACAATGTTAATAATAATAGGATTATTGCTTTGATGTTCTACACTTATCATACATTCAGGTGCTGAAAGATCGCTTAAGGCAGATGCAGAATCAGCAAAGCGAAGGCAACAGGCTTTATTCGGCCATGGCGCAACTGACTCCTCAGGGTAGGTGGCGAGCTTTCAAGAAGCTGCCGGTAATTAAGATCTGTTTAAAATAGTCTATAATTTGTTTCTTTAAATGATTATTATTACGAATATCACTGCTATTCAAAGGTATTCTAGAATATTAATTTAGCATTTTTTGGAACTGAGGCTTCGTTCAATCTAGATTCGTTCGGATACTATTTTCCCAGTCTCACTTCTTGCGAGAAGAGCACTTATACGAGGAAATATTTCATGGTGTTACAGGTGCGTTGAATATTATTTTTGATCAGTATCAGGGCGGTGTACGGGCACTTTCACATCTAAACAATATGAAAGTAAGTAGCCAGTGTCTGGTGGACTACTTACGAGTAGCCACCACAAGGCTTCATTGAGCTACTATGAAGTTCGTTTACACACAAAAGTTTCATTGTTTCGTGTATTTGGATTTGTGTCGTCCCTTTATAATATTATATTGTCTTTTCTTCTATAATATATTTCCATTTTTGCGGCGTACAACGGAACTCATGGTTATAAATTGACGCGAAAAATATCCTAAGTGTATTTGAAGTCTCCCTTCATTTGAATATGTAAATGAAATAAACCTCAGGAGTGTTTTGTGCTTTAGATGCAAGAAAAGCGCACCGGAATATTGTGAACTCTATCCGCCTTTTAACTTATTTGTTCCATTGTTGTGTCGACCACATTTGCCAACGTACAAGCAAACACACTATATCGTATATTTATCCCAGGATATGTGCAATTGTTTGCGATAGGCAATATATCCATAGACAGTAATAGGCGCACAACGTACCATGCGTGGTATGCACGAGCAGCTGAGAACTAAACGAATCCCCCAGTAGATGTATAATTTGTATGTTTATGTCAGTTTTCTCGGCTACACGGCTCTTATATAACACTTATGTTTTTATTCCTAGGTAATGTTGTGGTGGAGAAAAAATCAAGAATACCGCACTTCAACAAACATTATAGCTATGGACTATTTAACATCATCGAGTGTCGTCGATATCTGTCGAGCCATTAATGCTCAGCGCGCCCTTGATCTGCGCAGGGGCCATCGTTTGCCATAGAGGGGTTTGTAATTAAAAATCATAATATAATAAAGGAGAAACTTATTTTAGATACGACATCTTTACTAAGTACGCTTCTTAAAAGTACGTATTGAGAAGAGCCAATTTGTTACGGTATAACATTTTTGTTGAATATTTTGCGAGAAAAAAGAGAGACAAAATATCGATATGAGGCTTGAATTAGACATCGCCATTACTAAGGATCTACTCCTAATAGTTGCTATAACTGGTCTACAACGGCGTACCTACATAAATTGTCGAAGCAACCAAAAAAGTTATAAGGCTTGCGGTGCTACGCACAAAAGGTTGATAGTTGAATAAGTTGAACTCCGGTAAGTTGCGATAAATAAGCAAAATGGTTCCAGCCACAGAACATTTCTCATCCTTAAAAACCGATTGCCAAATAACCCCGCATTGACGAGCATTACTAGAATTATTCGTACAGATGTTTTTCACTGGACAATATTGGATGCACCGGACTCAGCTATTATTAATTTGCACTGCGTTCAAACCACACCGAAAGCCATTTGTACTTTTCAATTCCTGTTATTTAGTGTATTATGCGAGCGGCGAATCATGTCTACGCAAGCAACGCAAGGCCATCTAATGACCCCTTAGTCCCTTCGAATTCATGGCAGCGATTAAGTTGAAGCATCTACGCAAACTCGGAACTTATTCTTATCCTTTCTACTATTTTCGGATTATATTTGCCCGAGCTCGATGAGTTGCATTATGAAAGAGCACTGTGTTATAGTCACTTAAATTGCGTTAATTCCCAAAGTTGCCAACTGTATTATATCACTTTAGCACAGTATCGAAACAACTCTACTTGCTTAATTGCCCTGTGTAGGGTGTATACAAAACCGGATAGGAAGCAATACTTGCTCGAAACTGCATAAGCAGGCTAACCTGTAAATATAGAGAAAAAAATCCAAGTCAATGAATATGATATGTGTGGAACACGGAAGCAATACTTTCACAATATAGAGCAACAATGGTGTAGGTACCAAAAAAGGTTGACGGATCCATGTTCCTTCCTCCTTTAAATCCGGTTGCTAAACTACATCGGCAACGTTTGTAGTTCGTGCGCGAAACTACCTATTACGAATTAAGGATTATGGACACTTATTCCAGATGCTACTGAGGAACCTATTTTTCATAATGATTTCTGGGGCATCATATATAAGGTAGCCTGGCACAGATTCCACCACTGGATAGTGTGTTCAGGAATTTTGCTGTAGGCCAGGAAAAGAATGGTTCCATTGGACTATCGAAGAAATATAAGCCATTTTTGCCAATTAGCTAGCTAATAAGCTGTAAATAGTCGTGTTGGATCGGCGTTGATGTCATCAAAGTTGAGATTTACCAGTAGGGAATATTATTGGAAGGCCTTTTATTCAAGCTTGGCACGCAGTGTTAAAAAACGTTAAAAGCACATGAATTGCCACAAAAAAAACCATGTGCCCAATTTAAAAAAATGCTACGCAATAATGGCAGCTATAGGAGGTGATACTATGTCTGGCGAAAGTGAAAGGGAATCGCGTAATATCCTATCGCCGTATCGCGTTACAAATTGACCCAGAAGCATAAAGCAACGAAATAAAAATAAGCCATTGAATCAAGTTCTTATTCTTTTATTTATTGGTAGTGTGGTGTAGCCGATTGGTAATGTCCTTATTCTCCATCTTATTCCAATTCGACTGCCTTAGGATAAAAACGCAGAATTACAAAAATGCAAAATATACGAAAACGCAGAAGTACGAAAACGCGGATATGCAGGCATCCGCTTGATAACCTATTTCCTTTGCATACTTTACCAAAAGTTCAAGAAATCTTTGCACCCGGAAATTATTCCTCGAGAAATGCCTTCACCTTAGCAGCATCCTTGCACCCACTGTCATCTAGTCTCTTGTCCTAGAAAGAGAGGAGAACCCAAAACGGCCGGTTATTTTTGGTTGTTGTATACTGTAGAGTATACATTTAAGCAGAATGTGTGATCGGCACTTATGATTATGTAGCTGATATGTTAGAAAAGTACGATTATGTAGCTTAATCGGAAGAAGCGCCTACAGTTCCAAAACGTAGGAGGGTGGGAATAGATGTCAGTTTTAGGTCCTCTGAGGTGCGGAAGTCGTTGGTCTCATCTTTCCAGCTGTAACGACATTAGTGCATACGATATGACCACTATGTAATCTTACATAAATGACGACATAAATACTTGCTGAAAAAAAATTACAGCTAAAACGACATATGACGACATAAACACGCGATGAAGGAAAAAGTCCAGCTGAGACGACAAATGACGATATAAATACGTGGTGAAAAAATTCCAGCTGAAACGCTAAATGACGACATGAATACGTGGTGAAGAAAAATTGACAAATGACCACATACGTATGAGAGATTTTTAGAATACGACATATTTTTAGAATATAATAAACGGATACTTACAATAACTTGTCGCCAACCTCACATGTGATAAAAGTTGCTGTGGCTTTCGGCTTAGCTGACTTTACTGCGTCTTCTATCACGGGATCCGCTAAAACATCATAGCAAGAAACGATATTACATTTTAATGTAAACATCTTTGCTTTACTGAAGCAGAGCTTTTTTCAGTATAATAAACGATAACATACAAGCATGTATAATAAATGGCAACATACAAGCATTTATAATAAACGACAAGATACAAACACTTTATTTAAGATTACAATAAAGAATATTGTGTACTGATTCTACTCACAAGCAGCGCAGTCCGGACACCAGCTTATCTGGGTCTCAGAGTCCCGATCTCCAACGAAATAAACAAATGCAGCTGTGTCTTTTGTTCTTTCACTCAGCTTTGTACGAAGTGCTTCGAGGCCTTTAACAGCTTCTGTCCTCTGCATGACGGCGATATAATATCAGCTCTGCTTGATATATTACTGAGACATGAGGCGCGTGCGTCGCGCGTATACGCAAAACAACGACTCCTTACGCTTCGTATGCTTAGTATTTATAATCCCTTTCGTATTCTTAAAATTGATGTTCTTTTACTTAGCAGCCGTACTTCCTCGTTGTTTAATTTATAGAACTGCTCACCACCTAAAACACCAGAAAACATACAATGACACTCATTTACTTGCACAAGTTTTTTTAAACTAAAGTAATGCCAAACTAACCCTCAAGGTAGTGACCTAAATACCACAATAAATTAGATGAAGTTTTCAATTCTTCTATGTTTTTTACGCTTTGAAGCACTGGGGACACTCTATTGAACTCCGCGTGATTACACACCCACTACAACAACTGTAGCCTATTGTTGGGAATATTCGCGAAAGCCAAATCCGTTTTTTAGCTGAACAACTAACGTTCGTAAACCGCTGCTGCCCTATATTCGCCTAAAAAGCTTCTATATATATATTTCGAAGTATCCTATTTTATTGAAATTACATTTGAAACACTCAAGAACGCCAGGTGTAACGAACGAGAGTAGAGCCAAATTTTCAAAACTTTTGTCTATTACAAATTCAACGTGTTCATTTTAATAACCGCGGAATATTGTATTTTTCTATAGAAAACTACTTAACTGTTTTCGAGCATAATCGATATCAAAATCTACAAATCGAACAAACCCCCAGAAAGTTTCTATGGTTGAAAGTTTCTATGAGCGTTCATAAAAGTACGAAGAAGGTTTAAGCGAGGCAAAGCGGGAGATTTTAAATCTTCCGTGATCATACCGAAAAAAACCGCCATGGGTTGAAAACAGATTTTTAATCTTAAATGTAAAAATAAAAGGCTATTTTGAAAATAAGGCTATTTATCCCTGATTAAATTTGCCAGATAATCATCAATGACTATCAAATTTTTTAAATCACTAAGCCTTTTTGCAACTTTTGAACTTACTGGCCTGTGTCTTAACCCTTGTCTATGATAGATCCTTGACAGACTGTCAGTACAAAATTTGTTGTATCTGACTTATTAGAATAAGACTTTGTCGAACCTTTTTTAGGTCGCACGATTCTTCACTAGCAGAAATGTTTCTAAAAATTACCGGCAATTGATTCAGGTTTTGAAGTAAAGTTTCGGCTAAAGTAAATGGTCTTAACATCGAGTGGATGCGTTCGTGAAAGAAGTCTCAGTCGGCGAATGCCAAAAAAATGTTTATAGTATTTTCCTTTTTTTGCGTATAGAACTAGGTTTCAAACAAGCAAATCTGATCTCCTCTGAGTGTATGTTGAACACCCAATATCAGAAAAGTTGAGCTTTGCTCCACGTTTATAACTTTCTTTCCCTTTACTGCTTGATAGCGAAATTAAATATTGTTTATTGAACCGAAAAGGAGATATACTCTATGTATAAAATTTTCGAACTTCAAAAATTTTTTGAGAAAAAGTACTGAGCCTTGTTTTTTTCTTATTCAGATTAGATAAACACACCGACATAATATTAAAGAAGACTTTCTCGTACTTGTCGATTACGAGCAATACATGTAAATACTGCCTGTTTAATCAATAACCTATATTGTCCTTATTTTAACGTTCAAAATGTAAAGACTTCATTCTACCATATTTTTTTCCATTTGCATATGTTACATAAAAGAAACATATTCTTCACATCTTTTCTTACCTGACATGGCTAACCACCAATTAATAAAGGAGATTTTAGAGGGAAACACTACATCGTTATCGATTTTACCAATCAATAATGAAGTAAATTTAGTCTTCCCATTGGATGTTTCTTCTAATCGTGGATTGTTAACGGTTCGTGCTACTTGATTTTTTCTCAGTCCTTTAATTTGAATGTTTCGAGTTTTACGTCCAGTACCACCGTTTATGCGTTGCTTTAGACGATTCTTTGTTCACGACGGTGGTCGTTAAATTGATGAATACTGTTTTCGTATTGCCGATTAAGTAATGTGCCAGCCAAAATTCTGCACGCGAAAACACGCCCAGCTAGCCGACGATACGGTAACGTATTTTCTTGCGACTATTTGTCAAAACAGAGTTCCAGATCACCTTAGTTCAGAGTTTTCAGTGGTATCACTCTTTAGTAGAACCTTTTGTTGCAAAAGTTAATGGAGGAAAAATTACAGTGAATGATGAACTCAATGAAGTAAATGACTTTATTTGAATTCTAAATATTAACATTTTATACATGCTGCCGCTTGCTTAATTGTTATATGTTGCTTAACTATCCAATGCGCGAAGTAAAAAGCTAAGCGGTTTTACATTTTATGAGCCGCTGTTTTGCAAATTTATTTACCATTTCTTTCTAGCAAAGTAATGAATTACATCATCCGTGAAATACCTAACGAGATATCATCACAAAACAAGCCATCTGCCAATATCACCAATAACTGATATCCATTATCCAAATGTTTAGCGTTACTACTCAGTACTTACACTAAATACTAAATAATTCTGATTTCTGGTTTAGCTTCTACTACGGCGGTACATACCGTGTATATATATATTTATATATATATATATATATTTATGTGTATCCGTGTTCGTCACTTTGTATTAAATTACATTATATATTCATATACGACGTAGCTTCAGTGGATCAGTTTCTACAATGCTACATGTACAAATTAAGCGTTTTTACATATTTACGCTCAGTGTTAGCTCTTTTATATGGTACACTGACTGATGGGGAAAAACTTGTGCCGCCAGTCACTCAGCTATACAATCATTAACCCTCGCACTGTCGAGAAGCAATCAACCATCCAGATCCGCACACCTACGAAATCTCAAGATCTGAATAAATTGTTATTGAATAAATGTAGATGAACATGTATATAATCTAACTACTCCTTCTTAGCCTTTCTTGTTGATACTCCCTTAAGTTTTTGCAAAATCTTGTATATAAAGCCCTTTTTTTGCGTTTTGTCTTGCAAGACAAGATTCTTCGTCGTAATGTTATGGATAGGGCCGAAGGCTAAAGCAAGTGCTGTACACACGAAGCAGATAACGTTATAAGGCATGCTGAAGTCTGGCGTTGGTAGTGTTACTAAAAGAATCTCAGTGAAAAGAACGAGATATCGTGTTTTGTCGCCACGATGCAATAAGGCTAACTCGAGATTCTCTGAAGCGGACAAATCTCCAGTGAAGTTTGCCAAGCCCTGGGAGGGCACCCTAGTGGTAAGTGAAGCAGCTCCTATGTAAAAACCCAAATGCGGATCAGGAGGGTATTCAGTCCAGACAAGGAAAGCGCGCTCAAACGCGAAGAAAACTTCCACACGCGAGTATGGTTCAAGTGTCAACCCGATCTCAAGATGGTAGGGTTTTTCTCTGTAAAGAAAAGTTGGTGAACTAAAAAATCACTCTGAACCATTTCACCTAACATAATTAATAACCAGCTGTGATCAAACAGAGATGATATCATGAACGTCAACGTGAGAATCCATTTGGAAAATGATTATCGTGTTTCGTGTGTGACCACATACCGATCCAATGCGGGTTGGAACACTATGCGATTAGGGTAAATTCGCTTCGTATTTGACGTGACCGTCAACGTATGGACGTATACTCTCAGGTACCTAAAAATGACACAAAAAATCAAAACAAAACGTGAGTTTGAGTTCGCAAACACAATACGTCACCATATGCACCATAGCAATATTGCAAAGACGAATTGGCGAAGTGATTCACCTCTTGATGTATTGTTGTGCAATATGTGTAAAATGATAATACGGACCCAAAATAATTTCAATTGCAAACAGTTTCGTGTACAAATTTATCCAGTTCCTTGATATGGGCATAAACCGGATTTCGAATCTAGACAAAATTGGTTTATCCGCTACGACCGTCGAATAATAATTACTCAGAATATACATAAACTAAGCCAAGTTGATGGCTAAGCCAAGTTTGGTATGAGCAGGTTGTAACTGTGCATTTTGTTTTCCATACAAATTGAATTATGAAGCGATATGTTGAAACAAATTATGAAAACTTTTTAGGATAGTTATTTGTTTGCAAGGTTTTCTGTCATTTTGCGTTCGTGTTTGCGTTCGCCAGGAAGTGGAAACAACGTATGAAGCGTATAGCAAACTGTAAATGGTAAATGCGCAAGCTCGCCTCACGAAGCTATTCAGTCAAACGTAGCAATAATAATGTACTATGATGTTTTAGCACCTTGGAAATATATTTCTATTTTTCCATATGATTATGAGGTTCGAATTTTGCTACCAGATCAAGTCTGTCTTTTCTATGGGAAATATATTACTATAACATTTTTCTTCCTGCACCTTTTAATAAAATTGGTGATTATCGGCAACATGTGTCACGTAAGCGTTATTGTTATTTTTTATTATTAAACATACGTATACGAAGATATCACAGATTATAAAAACACATGCAATGTGATATGCTAATGAAAGAGATTTCCTTGTTGTTATCACCGTAATAGAGCTCAGTCACTTCCCTTTAGGAGCAATGGATTGACTAAAGGAAGTACCGTTAGTCGTAGCCGGGAAATGGTTTAAGTCTTTTTAACCATCAAGCAAACCATTTTAGAATATATTACAACATATCGTATTTGTAGAGCTAGCCTGTGGCTTTTTGCTTTTCGGCGGAAATTTTGATACGCCCTTCCCACGTTTCGGCTGCTTTATACCTTTTTTCTCTTTAATAACAGGTTTACATTTAGGTACCGGAGCCACTTTTAGTTTTTTGGCTGGCTCAGGTGCCGATAGTGGTATCACATCCGTTGTGTCCTCCACCACTTCGTCCGGCTTCGTCTCACTGGTGGGCATTGTTGCCACCAGCTTCTCAAGATCAGGTTTGTGCTCGTCGGTCAGCTCGACCTGTTTTACACAAGGATCTTTCGACTCCAGCCTAGAGTTGTAGTCATCTGACATTTTTAAGGGCTCGTCTTCATCCACCGGTTTGGTGGGGCCTGCCGACGCTTTTTTCGGTTGATCTATAATCATCTCTAGCTTACTACCCTCTTGTTCTTCTCCCTGATTAGTTCTCGATTCCGTGTCCTTCTCGAAATCCTTCCTCACAAAGTTAGATATATCTATTTTCTCGGACAAACTTTTAGTTTGACCTGGTTTTGTTGACGTCCCAATTTTTTCTAAAACCTTTATTTCAGCTTCTCCTAAATGAACTTTCTTCTCATCCTGGTCTAATTTAACATTGTTCTCACATAGACCTGATTTAACTTTCACCTGCCCTTGACCTGATTTTGCCTTGGCCTGAACTTCATCCGATTTAGCCTTTGCCTGAACTTGATCTGATTTAGCTTCCGTCGGAACTTGATCTGATTTAGATTTCGTTTGAACTTGATCTGATTTAGATTTCGTTTGAACTTGACCGGATTTAGATTTCATTTGAACTTGACAAAGCGTACGTTTATCCCCAATATGATCGTTCTTTAATAACTTCTCTGAATCAGCGACGACTTTATTTTCAGTCGCATATTTATAAGGACTATTGGTGGTGCCCTTAGAAAGGTTGTTAGCATGATTTTTGGAAACAGATTCCTTTAGAAAGCTCTGCGATGCGCCTGCTGCTGTTTTAGTATCACAAGGTATAGGAATAGACTCCGCTTTTCCACCAAATATTTGAGTTCTTACCGGCGACTTTGTAACAACACCGTATTCTTCATTCCCTCCTATTTGTTGTCCGTTATGCATTGCTTGGATGTGACCTTCTCTATGTTTAGCCTTAACTCTATCGTTTTTCGCCCAGCCTGTTGATTCAACTTCCGTCCTACTCTGACTCGTCAGGAGTTTAGAAAAGTCTTTAAAGCTGCACATAGGAGGGGCTCTTTTATTTTTACATGCCGTTACGGATTCCTTCAAGATATGCGCATTGTAGCTTTGATTTCTGCTAGACAACTTATCACCACTACAAAATGCATTATTATTTATTTTACCTGGACTGAACCCCTTTCTAGGTGTTGACTTTTCAATAGCCTTCCTCATGATAAAAAATGATTTTTGATATTTGGCAGATGTTGAATGTTGGCCAATAGCGAGAGCTCGATGCTGCTCCTTCTGCTTTGCTGCGATTGCCGAGGGAAGCTGTGGCAATGGTTTACGATTCTCGCCCACTACCTCTAATTTATCGGATAGCTTAGTCGGGTCATTGGCAGCGTCGATATATAGAGACGATCTGTTTTCGTCTTCGATATTCACCGGGGCCGCAGCAGGCCGCATTTTTAAATTTTCAAGGTAAACCTTGTCGATTACACAGCACTATTCTAAACGCAAGGTAGCTCAAACAACCGCGGGCTTCGTTGCCCGCGCGAAATAACTGCATAGGGTCTAATCGTTGACATAAACAAAAAACATGACTCTCGGAGTTCCGTACGGAGTACGTTTGTCCCGTACACTACTCCGACAACGACGCTGGAAAACAGTATTTCCGCTGTGGGGACGTACTATGATGGTGCGTCTGTACTTCGAGTTTCACCACCGGCACTGCTATAAGATACCGCTTTAGATGGCTGACTCCTAGCACGAAACGGTTTGAACCTATGGTTGTTTTTAACCTAGTGTTTCGAGTTTTACGTTCGGTACTATATTTAAGAATTACTTTAAATGGCTGGCTCTACGTGAGAAACGAAACGTTTCTACGTCTAGTTTCGAACCCAGACACCTAGTGTCTCGTTAAGTTTAGCAAACAAATAAGTTAGCACCGCAGCGTCACGCAAACTGCTTAGAGTAAGCCGCCGTAAGCTCTACCGCAGCATAGGCTGTTAAGGATGAATCTCATTGTAGCTGTAGTAACGATCTTTGGAAAAATTTGGAACGATGTTAAGGCGATTTCGCTCTGTTTCATTTAATAGCAGTGTACATAGCTTTTCTTGTTACAACAAATACCAATAACATATTGACGTAAACGTTCTACCGTATAAGCGCAGTTGATACGCCTGCCACAAACCTTTGAAGTATTAGAAGTACTCAGTACTGCGGATAGCAGATAAGTTGTCAAAAGTCGTCTGTATAGCACGTGCATGTTATGATACCGTTGGTGCTGCAGAACTTCTTTACAGTAATATTTTTTATTTTGTTTTTTGACTGTCATTGGTGCTGAGTCCCGCAATACTATTAGATTTTATTGCTCTACTTATACTCTGTATATTATATAAACGTGTACATATTTAAATACTTTTCTCTGTTTTTCAGCGGAAAATGTGTGGAGACAAATGTGTTCAGAATGTCTGAAACGGTTTGAAAAAGTTTTATTGGTTTAGAGTTAACTCCATTAGCTTTGGTATTCATTGTAGAAATTTAGACTTGCACGATATTGTTTTGAGAGCCCCTCTGGTTTGCAAAGATTTTACTTACCAAGGAATAATTTCTAAATAAGTGACGTTAAAGAAAGTGTAGTGGTTATTTTTGATGATTGCACGAATTCCACCTTGATCAAGTCCATATCCTGAGCACAAAAAGACCAAAACAAGATAAGTAAATTATAAATGATTTGTGCTGCATACATTAGATAAGAAATGATCATCTTGCCTTTCTACAAAAAAGGACAAGCAGACAGGTTTGAAATATTAAAATTCAGAAAACGCATTGATTTTGAATGCCCTTTGATACAAACGAATAATCGTTTGACAGCGGGAAAATACAACGAACTTCCATGGGAATCGTCAAAAGCACTTACCTTGCAAGTAGCGATTAACGGTAATTGGTGGAGGCTTAATCGTCCAATACATGTGGTTTTTTGCAAATTTAGCATATATGTTGGCATGACCATGGTCTTGCAAAAGCCTCTTGATGTCGTAAATGGCAAATTCACGATCGCTGTCGGCCTTTTCTAGTCTGTGCGGCTCGGGACTTAGAGTCATTGCAGCACTCACCCCATTTGGCGTCAAATCTACTAAAACCGAGCTCTTGCTGGCAAGGGGGCAAACCGCTGATATCGTCTTACCAAATAAAATCATAAAGTTCCAATCTTGTCGTCGAGGGCCGAATGTAGGGTCCATCACAACAGTGACATACTGTTGCAGTAGAAGTCGAGTCTGGAAACATTTTACGAAAACATACATGAGACTGTCACTAAACACATATATTAAAGTAATATGTAATAATTTCCTCGCAAACACTTTGCGATAAGTGAACTTTTAGATCAAGATTGTATTTTTTTTTTGTCAACTGACTTTTGTCACTCGTAATAGAAATTAAACAAACGGAAAAAAGACTATACAAATTGCATCATATGCTTATCCATGTGCTATACATGGTACTTCCAGTAAGATCTCAGAACTGTAATTCATAGCAAACTAACGTGTGAGCATGAATTGTCCAAGCATGTTTTCTTGACGTCCATCCCGATTGAGATAAAGTGTGAAGAAAAGACCGACGTGGCCTTTAAAAGCTGCGACAAGCCTGTTTTAAATAATTGTATAATAAATGAATAATTAGTTAAACAGCATATGCATATGTACGCCTACAGGATATTTATAGCTAATCATTGACTCTTGCTTCAGTTGTTCCAGTGAATGCATGCATAAATGTATGCATATATATATATATATATATATATATATATGCACAGTGAGTGCAAAGCAGAGCTCATGTCGTATCTCATATGAGTCTAAACGGATATAATTTGATACTTCAGCTCTTAAAAAAACTTTAGCTTTTATCCCAAAAACAGTTCACCTACACGTAAACTCTACAACACATGTAAATGAAGAAATTTAACTGTATATGTCGCAGCTAAAAAAGACTTAACAGCATATATTAACATCATATAATGTTGGTATGCATACTAACCGGCATTAGAACAAGGTAAAAGTTTGAGCCAGGGCGTAAGATTCTCAGTGCAAACTGCTTCACCAGGTAGGAGGGCTAGTCGTAAGTTGGTGGCATTCACTGAGTTCAGGTGCCCCTCCGGACGAAATACGTATTTCGGAATAGCCGTGATGGTGTCGTCAATAAAATTCAGCGATGAACAAGTAATGCCACCTATAAGTTTTTTATAAAACGAATAGTTAGGGTATGATCTACAGTCTCGTTGCTTTATAACATTTTTCTAAATTTGAGCCAATAAAGGCGCTATTCCTGATTTGAAATCCTACATATTAGCACATGTTATGTTACCGTAGCACTAACAAAAGACTATCACTTTTTCTTTATTTGGGCCTCGTTGCATTGATAAAATTGCGTGCTTAATTTAATACGTACATCCTAATATTCAGCAATACTAACTGATGTCTACGTCAGTTTTTCTACTTTACGGGTTTATAGTTTCGAACGAGATTCCGCGCAGATATAGTGCAATCATACCAAGTGCAGCAGCGAATTTCTTCCAATTTTCTTCTGGATTCTCTTTGAACCACGCCCATAGCAGTGCTCCAGCTGGACGATCCTTGACCGGATAGCCCCAATTTTCATGTGACCTACATGCAAGTAAAATGTAAGTCATTTCACCGCTGACAGTGGGACGAGCCTGTCGCAAATAAGGATTCTTACGTCGAAACTATTTTTAGAAAGTCATTTCGGGATTTGCAATGGGGCACGTTGCTAAATGCATATTTTTGCATTCGTAAGAAACGAACATTGCTGTTTCCTACTTTAGCCCTATCCCATAGATAGACCGATACTATAAAATTATTATTATACCAATTTTCGTAAAAAGAATAGTTACTCCTCAACGCATATGAAATACGTAAAACATTGACTCGAATTATCCACATATACACGGCAACTAATTTAAGCTGTTTTAACAATATTTCACGGTCTGTAGTTTGAAGTGGGCAGAGTAAATCCATGTGCAATAATGGTTTTGGAATCAGAGTCATCTTACACCCATAATCAATTGCACATTCCATGCGCTTTCTACTAAATTCGAAAGTAAATCTGTTGTTAAAAACTGCTGCCTAGACTACAATCAGTAAGACTGACACACGCGAAGGAATTTGCGCTCGCGGGATATGTACTTGCAAGGACGTGCGAAACATCTTTATCTTATTTACGCACCATTTGCCTTGGGTGAGAGAAAGATGGAATTCATCCACTGCATTAGCCTGTAGCAGTTCGCCAACAGTCATCGGGAATAGCCTGTGAAAGAAACGTCAGAGCAGGATACGTTAGTTGTTCAGTCTTGTCTGATCTATAGCTCAATCAATTACGACCCGTGTAAATGATACCCATGCCTGATAATTTGTGGAATAGTTTTTTTATTTATAAAACTGTCTCGACGAATGACTTTTTTTGGCAATAAATCGTAATCGAAATCTGATATATTGAGTAGCAGGCATTTCGTCAAATTTAGCGTAGTTTCGATTATAATTCAAGAACAATAAACATGACACCGGAACGATCCTTAGGACTGAATCTACTGCTGAATTCAGCCACAGTTCACTAAAGTATCTGCCCTCTTCTTTAGCAGAAAAAGACGACACAGGACGTCGAGAGGAAAAAATTCCAAAAAAATGTGTTGATATGGTTGTTAGGCGCTGCATGTCGATGCACTCAAAAAGATAATGCCGACTCTGCTCAACATCAGGCAATATCAAGCTCACAATTAGGCTGTTGTCGCGACACATTCAATTAAGAGGCAAGCTGGGTGTCACTCCATTGATTTAGGTCGCACAAGACGCGAATGGCAAAATTAGAGACGAATTGCTGCAAGAACAGCGGCCGATGATGCGTCAGGATACATAATATTATACGAATAATAATAATACGTATTTAAGTTTGCAAAGTGCAATTGATCTATAAGCTTTAAGTGGCACTGCAGCATAGGCTATCTAATTTTGCTAACCTGTAAAAGTTTAGCGGCTCTGCGGGATTGTGTAGCGATGTTGAAAAGCAGAACTGAGCGTAGACATGACCGGATGGTAATGATTTAATAAGCAGCTCTTCAGAAAACAATTCACCAGACGCCGCATTCGGCAACTGATGCCGATCTTCTAACGCTACAATTCCCACTAAAAGGAATGGAGGTATCCAAAAAGTCAACATTGTCGCTGTTGTGTATTTATACTGAAATAAGCATGTGATTAAATATCAATTAATAACCAGTGATTAATCTGTAAACCTTCACTTGCTCTCGTGCCTTGCACAAAACTTTTTAAGTCATTTTATTAATGTATACCTAACGAGAATCTTTTTGAATTGATTTATTATATATTAAACAATTCAATATAATCTTAGCTTTCGAAAATTATTAAAGCTCAGTCTATTAGAAATTTCAGCGAGAATCTATTGAGAAAAGCTTAACAAATCAACCGGCAAAGCTACATTGAGCAACGGCAGGGTGGATCACTAACTTCAATGCAGACTTGCGAGTTACTAAGCGCTTGCATAGGACACAATGAATATATGATATAGCAATTTCGTATGCTGCCTTTGTTGTTGCAACTGTTCTCTTCATAGACGTATATAAGGGAAGGTTGTGTAACACAAGTGTAATAAGTATCTTAAACAATTAGCAGTTCCGCCGCTATTTTTGATTTATAACGGTCAGAAACAAAGGCGAATGCGAAGACCAATGAGATTGACGAATTTTTATCAGTAACTGAGCTAGAAGTTCATATTTGCAGCCAATAAGTATACGAAATTTTACAAAAAAAAATGTCTACGAAAAATGTATAAGCAATTTCTCATTTACAATTTTTTTTTATTTACCTTAATTTGACGTTTAGCATTTATCGTGACAGGCGGTACTCTCGGTGGATTTAACTTCTAAACATAGGATGTCGTACCAGATATACGTATGCCTTTTTAAGTAATTAGTTAAATAAGATCTGCTAAAATACTTATCGTTTATCTTGTTCTTGACGCTCCGAAAACGTTTCGCAGACTTCGTAGCCTTTTCACTACAAGATACGGACGATGTATGTTTTCTATAGAACCTACCCCGCGGTGTTGAGTAATTACCGACATTAGGCAAATATTACGAGTTGGCGCATTGAAATGCTAACCCGGCACTGTGTTAACAGGTCACACAGACCTTCGAAAATGTATTCTCGCAGATTACGCAACAGGTCGGCTTCGGTACGAAGTGATTGTCGAATGACACTAGCTAGTTGCTTCGTATTGGGCTCAAGTGTTTTCTGTGTGCCTATGGTAACACGTTTTGGCTTATTTGCGGTGTTTAGGTATGTAGCGCTGCATGGATCACTACAACGTTGTTTGTACCGTTGATAAGAGAATGATCTGAGTAGCCATTGATTTGTCGCGCATTTTGAAGGCTGTTAAGTGTTTAGCTACTTTTATAGTTAAGTGGTGCACAGCTGATTATACTTGCAGTCACGGTTCATGTTGGCAAAGCTTTAATCTAAGATTAGGAATATTTTTTTTCAATGATATACAACACTGTTATATCAATTACGCAGGACACGTAAACATAACCGATCTTGTGCTTCATTCCTAATTCTTATGAATTGATATCATTCGTTTAGCGTAAATGTGTTTATGTCCATGATAGTCGCGGAGAATTACTTACCACAAACTATTAGAAGTGACGCCTGTACGACACACTAAAACATAACTCAGTATTAGCAATAGAAAAAATTTCCTTGCATGTTGATGCAAATGACATGTAGTCAGTTCAGCAGTGACTAGGTATTTCAAAGGCGCACGATTTGAGTCACAGTAGTTTAAACTTCAAGAAATTCGAACATCGACTAGCGGTAACACCGGCTTACGCTCGGTCGCAGACATAACCGTATTTGTCATTTGTGTGTCTCGCTATTTCATGGAAGTGTCAGAACACATTGAACGGCTCCTCACAGAAGGATACAGAAAATGACAACAGGTGACTTACCACTAAAATGAATGAATTTGAAAGGCACTCACTTGCTAGACAATATAACTTGAGTTGCTTTCTGCTTCATTCAAACCTTGGCTGAGCCCTACTCAACTCAAATAGTCACTCGTTTGTATTGTTGAGTACGCGCTGAGACATACGCAGCGTATACGCCTACTGCTATCATGTACGTAGCTAATTGACGGGAATCGCGGAGTTTACGGAATGCAAGATCAAAATGGTACGCCATCAAGTATTGTTGTTGTTTGTTGTTGTTGTTGTTGTTGTTACGGGTTTGGCGTTCGGTGCTATCATCGTTGCCACCTGGTCCGGACTAAGATAGCTAGCTGTCGTATGAGAATTCATTCCACCAGGTACGTGTGCGCTGCTGTATCACCAGTTTGCCACTCGTGCTACCGATTGTGCCCTATTTCGACATATTTAAATTGTTTTTGCCGCAGATTATTGCCCGCCTGCCACTTGTTATCCAAATTGCGTGGTTGCCCAGTTTAGCACTCTCTATTCGCCTCACTCTATCGACGATATTATGGCGACTGGTCTGCGACCAACAGACAGAGGGCCGAAATGCAATCAGCTGTTGTTGCCGATCCTTTCTTCGTAGAATCCAATGTTTTTACCACGGTTGAGTGGTTCCTTTATCGGCTCAATGTGACTGGCCTCCCAATACCCTGTTTTAGCCTAATATGTGTGTGGTCTGATTATTTAAATAAGGTTGCCTTTCAAATACCTCCTTCTTTCAGATGACGTGATATTAGCTTAAAGAGGCCACCTGGAGTTTCCAGTTCTCCACGCTGCCGCTTGGAATCTTTATGCTTAAGGCAGATCAAGCTGCCGTATAACCCGCAGAGCGAACAGCGTAGAGCAAGACCATTCTCTCTTCCAAGACCAACCCGTTACTTGCCCTTTGGTCAGCTTAGTTCGATGGCCAATATTATTAGGTCCCATTAATCAACGGTAACTGTGCGTGTATATGTAAATACATATATATACACGTATATATGTATATATATATACACATGCGTGTAAATGCGGCAATCATAATTATTTATCTTGCTCATACTAACTGTATATAACTACCATTATGTATAGCGTAATTTTCAAATTTCTATCGACTATGTCGTATTGATTATACGGTATTGCGACCGGATCGCAACTGGACAGACACCGTTCCGGAGCAGCGAGAGACGACTGATCGAATTTGCCAATATCGTCGACAGCAACAATATGTCAATACTGGAGAAAATCAAACAGTATTGCCGCCGGCTTGAAAAGCATTCAGACGACAAACTAGTAATAAAGGAAACACTGAACAAACTCAACAAGATGGAAGTGACCGTTGATATCTTGCAGGAAACTGGGATCGGTAAGTAATATCACGGAAGCATCTGAACGATTGGAGATGTTTCGCCAACCAAATATCATAAGAGATTCTATTGAACTTGACTTAAAACGCACTTCATTAGCAGTTGATGGTGCAAGAACTGAATGAAAGTGCAGCAGCAATTCCTAAAAGTAAAAAAGAGAGTAAAGATCTAACTGTATCTAACCACTGAGGAGATATTTGATAACCTAGGTTTAGAACTTCAGAAAATAGGATTTTCTATACGTTCTCTAGGGTCAGGGTATAGGAAGTTTGCAGTTTTGGCCTTGGTTAATAACAAAGATTGGCCGCAGGGGGTAAAATAATATGAGTAATTTCTGATTACGCAAGAGGGTAAATCGACAACGCACCCCCATAATAGTCGAAAAAAAGGGGGGTTTAATGAAGTGCAGTGAAATAAGCGACCGAAACAGGGTTAACGCGACTAGAAAATACCGAGAATAGCACGAAAATATAGTATGGAAAGCACGAAAAATCCTTGAAACGATACGTAGGGCTCCATTCTGTTAGACCGGAAGTTGCTTAATTTTAGAATTATGGCCAGTCTTCAAACATATACAATAAAAAATAAAGAGGGCGAACAGGACGATATTGGCGAATGTTACAATATCAGAGAGAAGACCAAGGGACTTGAGGCAGGAGAGGGTAGAAATTACATGTAGACGTTTACAACAATGACGATTAATATGAAGCTTTTCAAAGAACCTGTTGTGATGAATGGAACTAAATAAGGGAGCAGAATCAATTAACTATAGTGAACCTTAATCAGTAAGTGGTACCGCTTGCACCCTTGAAAGATTTCTATGGCTCAAAGACAAAATTGACTAACCCGCCTCTACGTGTCAAGTGCATATAACTCATGTGGTACGTCCTATTTTTGAAGTAAGCAATATTCTATTTAGTATACTTATTTCGATCTATTCGATGCTAATCGGAAGTTTTTTTGCGTTCCTGTATTAAATTAATCTATTTCTACAAACCTAGGTAAAATAGTGAGCTGCATCAAGAAACGTAATGACTCTGCCGGTGTTATGGCAACTGACCTAATCCGAAAATGGAGAAAAGTTGTTGATCGCGAGGCCGAAATGGAAAATCCACCAGCCGTAGATGAGCCTGAACCCTATGAACCGATGCCGGTTGATGATGTAAAATTCAGGAAGCTAGCTTATGAAGGTGTTAGAAATCAACAAGATCAGAGGTGAGCGTCAATTGTTGATCCCTCATTGGCCTTTATGACTTTGTCTCATCCTTGATACTGACTCTTGGAACTTCGCCAATTCAAACAGTCCGGTCTGTCGAATAGTCTGAAATCAGTCTCCAGTTTTTATTAATTCACTTTGTCGAATGTATTTATACTAGTTTTATCAATGCCTAAATAACATAAAAATGCATGTTGTTGTTAGAAACAAATGGTCTCAAACAGTTCAACCATAAAAAAATAAAGCCAATCCTAGTGCGTTATCTTTTGTCTTAGCCTTAGGGACTTGGAACCAAAAGGTTTTGGGTTCTAATCTAATTGGGCACATGCAAACTGATGCAGTCTTGTGCTTTCAAATTTGTTAAAAAAGTATATTACTGCACCAATATTGAAAAAATTAAAATACGATGCAGACACATAGTCTAATATATGCAGCATACTACGGAGAAGCATACGTAATTGTAACTACTTAACGATCGTTTCTTAGATGACCAATTAGATTAATATTGTGCTTAACCTTGACAGACTTGAAAAAATTAAAGAGGAGAAACGTGGCAGTCACGCGATTCAATCAGATAGAAGAGAACTTGAATCCAAGTAAGTGTTGCTCAGTTGCTTGGCCTGTTCTGAAGCTTCTTTGACAAATTCAAATGATAAGAATTCAGGGTTTGTGAAGTGACAGGCTTCTAATTTTAGAGGAAACGTATTACGAAAATAACGCTCTGTCCAAGTTATGATAACCCATATGTTGCCAAAAAGGCAAAAATATACAAGTAACTGATGCACGTCAACTTTATGCATCGTTTCCAGATCTTCATCTTCATCAAATAAGTTACCGAGTAGCAAACACAATAAATTTTCGAGTGGTAAAGCACCCGAACCTGAACTTTTTTCGGATGCTGCAGTTGTGATTAAGAAGGAACTAAAGGACGAGTCCTCTCATCGGCACCCGAAGGACTCTAGCAGTAAACACAGCGGCAGTCGCAAAGAAGATCGAAAGCATCACCATAGTCATCACAGTAATCATAACGAAAAAGAAGAGCGACGAAGTAGCCACAAAAGTGAACAGCGAAATCATCATAAAGACAAGTCGAAGTCTGATTATAGCAGATCAGCTGAAACGTCATCCAAATATGCCAAAGAAATTAAACGTGAAAAAGATGTGTCCCTTGAAACAGCTCCGAAAATAAAGAGCGAAAAGCGTCCTGAGACACACCGAGCTGAGGGTAGGTTGGTGAATTTAAACTCATTAAGCCCCATTATACTAAGATTTTTCAACCTAGATATCACATATCATTGGCATTATTTTTTTTGCAGCATCTAAGGTGTCAAAGTCGTCTGGCTCAATAGGTGACAATAGTAGTGTGCAAATCAAGCAAGAAAGCAGCAGTTCTAAAGAGAAGGAGCGCCGAGATCGAAAACGGAAAGCTCCAGAGGGTACGAACGATCTCGAAGAAGAACCAGATGGAATGAATGCAGCGAACTTTGGTTCGTTCGAGGACTGCCTTGGCAGCATTGACCCGAAGAAGCACCGGAAAAAAAAGAAGCTAAGTGGCGCCAAATTAAGCGCTGCGGTCTCGCCCAAAATGACGGTCAGTATAATTGTAATTAAGAATTTTAGACAATTATGGATGCCAACGATGTTGCAACTGTGAGGAGTTGGTTGTTGGTCGGGTTAGTTGTCAAAATGATTGTTGATGACGTTTTCTCGTATATGCATCGTTCTTGTTGCAGGTAACCTCGTCTACCCTTAATGGCTCAATTAACAAGCCTAAGGGTCCCAGGCTACCTGATTTGTTGGACGTGAAAAAAGCGACGGAAGCACAAAATCTGCTTCCAATGTCGCAGCTTGTTACTGATTATAAGGTGATTTTTTAGCTCGTGTTGATCCCTTTTTTAAACTAATAACGTATCCATTAATATGTTCGGAGTATTTGAAGAAATTAGACATATTTTTTGATCAGGTCTGCAACAATATTAAATCGATTAACTAACATCGGTACGAATAATATGGTCACTTTTGTTTAACATTTTCCGAATTCGAAAACGTCATATATTTTATGAGTGTGGTGTGACCGTGTTGCCTTTCTATTTCGACTAACTGTTTTTCTACAGCCTCTTCCGCGTATGGAGCCAAAATCGTCCGCGTGTACTTCGTCCTCTGGTGCCAAAGTGAATGCTTCTAATAGAGTGATGACTAATGAAGAAGCGGTCCTCTTCACAACATCACGCAAGGATCGCACGGCCGTCTACTCAGGTCGCAAACAGCACACGCTTACATCCGTACCTACGCTGTACGAGGCGTGTGTTCGGGTGCTTACAGAACACGTAGACTTGATCGATGAGACAGGGGGAGTGCCGTTCGATATAATGCGCCCAATTATGGAGAGATGCAGCTGGCAACAATTGGAGCGTCTTGAGTACTATAATCCTTATCTAACCGAGGATTCAGATCCGCTTTGGGAGATACACGTTAAACGGGACTTCCGTGGAAAAGTTAGTGTGTTTTATTGCATTAAGACCACGATGAACATTTACTGCCCTTTTCTTGTATATATTACTGGTAGACCACGGTTCTACTGTTTTTATCTATAGATACAAGTAAAAATAGGTGTTTTGGTGGTTTATGAAATAAGGTACGGTGTAGTTATTAGAGGTTGATTTCTAATTTGATCATTCATCACTTCTCATTATGACTAGACGCCCGCTAAGGGCGAGGAGACATGGCGAGAGCTGCATATGCGCTGTCGTGACGAACGTGAGCAAAAACTCCAGGTGTTGAAAGAATCAATTAGCAAGTCAATGAAGGAAAAACAGGACCCCGTTCGAAAAACGAAACTGGCCTATGTCGACACCATGGCGAAACCTCCTCGGAACGTTCAGCGGGCCCAGCTAAAACATGGTACCCACCTTGCTAACAAAAGCCAGCCCTCGCAAAGTCGAAGTATTGCTGCGACGGCTAGTACTTCCTCGGCCGTCGAGCCTGTACGAGCGCCCACTGTCGCCGCCAAGAAACCTAATAAGCCTGCACCGCTAATGGCAAAAACGTTGTCATTCTTGAAAATGCGAAAGACGACAGGCTACGGTTTTGCGTCCCGGTAGTCAGTAAAATACTAACGTTAATCTGAATCATTGAGAGAGCGGTAAAACAACAAAAACAACAACTGTAATGTCTACTCCGACATAAGCAGAAAGCATGAATAGAACTAGACCGGATGGGAGATCTCTCCAATAAGTGAATGATCTGTGCGTTTCAGAGATATCTATATATCTAGCTACAGATATGTTAGCATTAGTATAGCAAATCTCTGGGCGTTTATGGGACACACAGGATAAGTCATTTATTTTAATTTTTCCCATTTTCAGAATTTCTAAATGATAAACAGAGGCGAAGGAGACATCAAAGGGCGGTGTTAAAAAAGAAAAAGTAACAGCAAAGAATAGCGAATCAGTCAAATAGAATAAACTAGTAACGATAAATAATATAGAAATGACATATGCCAAGTTGAGGGAATAGCTACTGTGGTGCCGGTACGAGCCGAGCAAAAAAATAGGCTACTTAATCCAAAAAAAAACAAATATAGAACAGACAAACGAGATAAAATACATTATATATGAAACTTCCAATGATTATTGAATGCATGCTGCAATGGAATAAAACTTGTGTCCGCTTAAAACCAACCTACAGTCACAGACACATACCCGACAGATTTCCAAACTAGTTAGTTTTATCATAATGCGGCTAGTTATTACTCATTTCTGAAAAATGTGCGCCACCTGCACTTTATAATCTGTATATAATTTTCAATATTATCAAAACATACAATAAATAGCACAAACTACAGTAAAATGCCAAGAATTTCAACTAAGTGTTAGCCGCGTTGCATCCGTTTGTTTCCTTTTGACATTTGTGAAAAATTGATGTGAATACCCAAGTTTGTTAAGATTACATGCATCATTGATCGATTCGCTTTGTAAGGTAAATCGGCTATTAAATACGTTACTGAATTTAGCGTAACAGAAAAATTTGTTAATTGAATGTTTAACAGATGCCTCAAATCTCTATCTATCCACAAATATCAATTCACCGTGATCTCGAGCTCTTTTTTTGTTTTTGTTTAGCTAAGTAGAGGACCCGATACTACTAGTCAGCTCAAAAATCTAGAACAGAATACGCGGGTCTAGCGGATAACGCTTGCATAGAGCTACGAATAGAGGCGGGTTCTCGTGCCTTTTTACCAGGACGTGTGCTAATGTGCGTTTTATTATATTGGATTTTGTCCGAAGGCATACGGTCAGAGTGTGTCATGCCCTCTACACGACAAGAAATCGCCAGGTTGGTCTATGCAATACTGTAGACGACGCATGTCACGTCTAATAGTACTTTCATAGTCCCTCGGAATAGATAAAAAAAAATACATACAAACTGTACGCACAATATAACGATATCGGTTGAGTTGTATCTATGCCTAAGATTCTGCTCGGGGGAAAAAGTCTCCAAAAAAGACGTATTTCTAAAAAAAAATGGAGAATGGCAGATATGACTATAGCAGGCTCCAAAATTTATAGTAGCTGACTATCTCATCAATAGACAAACCTCTTTTTATATTGGAATACGTTGAGAAAAAATATCTAGGCATAGTAAATTAAAGTCGATCTTACAGCAGCAGTAACTAAAAGTGCCGTTGTTAACCGGCGCTGTAGGAAACGTTGGTCACTATATGAAAACTTTGTCGTCCACTGTGGGCAATTTAACTTTTCTGTTAACTTACTGTTGCAGCAAACGAGAACATCTGAATACAGTATTTGATATTCTCTTCTAGCAAGAGACTGTTGATGAACTCTACACTAAAAGACGTCAAAACGCTGCGAGCGACGACCGGTACCCCTTTGACTGACTTTGATCCCTTAACGTTGTCGGAAATGTTACAACGAGAGGTTATTATTGTCATTCGAAATTGACATTAAAGTAGTTCTTCTTGGCAAATATGCGGTGAAATTTAGACCCAACTTACACAAGCCTACTGCTTTGAATCACACTCGAGGGCACGATTCGGTGTGTCAATTACGAATTTCGAGAAGTAGATAAGCTGGCACCGTACTAATGACACTTAAGAACTGCTTTGCTTGCTTTTTTTCCCAGTTAATTTCTAATTGTTTTAACATGCTAATAAATTGTTACTTTTTTTAAAACTACCACACGCTGAACACGCATTTTGTAACTCCTGGCCATTGAAAATTGAGTTGATTGGAAATGCTGCCATCTTTGTGTTATACATCGAAGTTTTTGTTGAAATACCATTTATCCTTCTAGATTAATATCAGGCTGATTATCAGAAGTGCTAGTTTATACCAGTTAGTTGGAAGCGGACGTGATTGTTACGTGCCTATTGATGTCTAACATTTTATATCTTCGAGCGAAGTGACTGGGTTATTTTAAAAAGGTTGTACAATATCCGCACATGTGCGAATTGCGATCAATGACTGACTTTCGGTAATCTAAATAAACTGAGATTTGAGATCAATTATGGTATAGGCATATTGGAATTGTCTAATTAAAATGATTTATCAGAAATAGAATAAGAAGACAGTCAGTATTTGGTGCCGGAGTGGTTAAGATTGCCCGATCGAACTGAAAAGCCATTCATCTACAACTTCAAAAGTCGTTTCTCGTTACGTGTAAGCGTTTCAGTTGTTCCTCACTCAGGCTTATTAATTGGAGACTGTTGGTCTTAAACGACAGAGTATCGTTGTCATATAGTTTACTTGCTCTTAGTGAATCATCCTCATCAAAACTGTAAATAATCGTTGTCCCTGTATATAGGGTGCAAATAATTAAACGAATAAAATTGTGTTGGAAATAAGCCGATGCTTCAAAAGACGTGTTGTTATTTTGAACAGTAAAAATATAAGTGAACGTTAAAAGTATCCATGCTTATTATATTTACGTGGAGACAAGTGGTGTGGCTTGCATAAAAGCAAACTCAGTCTAATTTTTCAGGTGGAAGAAAAATTAAAAAAAACTATAATGTGTTTGTCTACAAACGCCGGTTACTGCATTCGTAGTTGACGTGTCTTTCTGTTTTCATTATTAATTATCGAATATTATTTCGTGTACTATTTGATTCATTGTAGCAGGTGAGCGAATTAAGGTAGTCATGAGGGAAAAGCTTGATACCGTTTGTGGCGGCACTGATTAGTTTCAAGTCTTATGCACTTAAGCTTTGATTATTGTAGACTTCTTTTCGTTTTTCGTTCTTTATAAATCAGTAATTAACACTCTGTTGATCGTCACCTATATGTAATGTTTCACGGTAATCGGTTCATTCAATCAGGGTGCATAAATTGTCCGTAGAAAGAGTTGAACTCATCTTGTATGTAGGGTTTTTTATATTAACATTTTAAAGAGATAATCCAATTGCCTGGATTCTATCATGTTCTCATTGAGTAGAGAGTCCTAAGTCCACATCCTATCTAGAGGGGCATATACAAATAAAAAATACATTCCCATTTAGACGACTGGTTCAATTGAAGATCGTAGCCTTCGCAATATGCTCCAATGCACTCGAATTTTTTAGTACATCCCTTTTTTAATTTACATTCTACTGCCAATACTATTGGCTTTATTTTTTTCCACCTCGAAAACGATTACCATTCAAGGTGGCCTGCTATTGAAATTTCAACTTTCGTGAAGTCATATACAGTGCCCATGTACCATGTACGGATAGGATGCATTAGAATTAAAGCATACTTATAAGGAATACGTCTAAGTGGAGTTTAATCTTTTTGAAAGGCCCTAAATATAAGCTAGATATTACATACGTAAAGGAATCTTGCGATGCATAGCCAAACGATTAGAGCACTCCACATATTTGTTTAAGTCTTGTTTAATTTTCGTTTATTCTACAATCCAGTAAAGCATGTACATTAGGTCTTATGGAACTGACAAGCGATGAAGTTCAATACGATGGGTGAATGTACGATATGTGATGTCTACGTTGGCCTGCTCTATTTAATGCACGCGCCAGCAACACATCTTATTAAGGATACAATAATAATAGTAAAAAAAATTCTCAATCTGTTAAAAATTCGAGGGCAATTAGGTTCCTTTTTCTACGCACAAAAGTTTACTCATTTTTGGCTTGAGCTTCGTAGGCGATAGTGACTGGAATATGGAGAAATGTCAAAATACTGGTGAATATGTGTGCGTTGCGCATACAAGTTGGCTGCTACAAGCGGTCTGCCATAGAAGAACGCATATTGGTCGCATATGTCAGATTAGTACTGCAGGCTTCATGCAAGTTACACTTTGACGTTCGTATGCGCAGTGGACAGTACGACAACTTGCCTACAATTTCGGTACTGATTTTTAAATGTTTTACTGATGAAATGTACTACATATATATAATATAAAAAACTAGCTGAGAATAATAGAAAGAGGCGAAATAGTGCAAGTCGTTGCAGATCAGTTCTTGGCAAGAATTGACTAGAAAATCGCTTGCGTATGTATTCGATAAATGTCGAAACAATAACAATTGTATCTTGCTGTCTCAGGTAGTTTGAAATAAATTTCTGCTAAAGCTAATTTAACAGAGCCCGGTAATAGCGTATTGCCTAGTTAACGGTAGCAATCACTTATTGGTGCGAAAGCCGTTGTTAAGCAAGGCAAGGGTGTTGTTCTTCATGTTAGATTTTGGCAAGCGTTTCCAATTCTATTCTTTAATGGAGTATGAACTATTTATCGTCGCCATTGGTGTTGCCGTTGATTTTACACGTAACTGCACATGATAATGGATGACTGTGCGGCTGAAAATGTTTTAAGCGAAGCCTGTTTTTTTACTGAAAGAGTACTCTGATCCTCGTTGCATCTCCTTTTCCTCGATATAGCGTTTCCATGTGAAGTAGGCACAAACCCCTGTAATTGCGCAGGCCACCAATGCTGCAAAACAACTGAGCGCGATTGCGAAGATGTTCAACGGTGAGAGTTGGCCTGGAAAAGCAATATTTAAGGATTACTAACAAGGAAAATTGGCTTAAGTCAAGAGATCCATCTAGGCACTGGACCTTCTGTCACTAGAGTTTATCTGTCCTGCAGTAACCTAGAAGAGTGTATACTGCCAAGAACAAACAAACATGCAAATTTAAAACAAACGGATTCGGGGTCTATAATTTTACATAAGAAACTTTTTAAGAAAATCTAGGTTAATAAACTCTATAATAAATTTGTTTAGTTGCTCTGTAGTATTTGACAGCTAATGGATCTGCACGGTATCCTTTATGTGACCTATTAGAAGTCTTTCAGTTACAGAATTTTTCTTTTCTACACATTGCACTATGCTACCAATCATACGACTTTGTATTTGGCTCAATCGTAGCGGTCGCGCATTTTCTAATATTTTTTAGTGGTACCATAAAGCGTAGTAAACGACAATTACTACGATCATTCGAATGCTCAAAAGTGGGCGTGGATACAAAGCTGCCTGATGCGTTCATTTATCCGTATCAAGCTGGTTTAGTGAACGCTCCGCTACAAACTGGTGTTTTGTAGATATTACACTTTTATTCTGGTGGAATAATTCTAACTTTCGTTGCAGGTACCTCACAAAGCCGTAATTTTACAGTTGTGCAGATTCACGATTGTATTCACGATTACTCACAGGCTGATGAAAAACAACCTTTTTAATACATTTATTGATATAAAGTTCTGAAACTAACTAGTGAGATAATGAAGTAAAATAATTCTCTAAATTCACGCAATTTAAACGTTCCTATGTGACGTGCATCCAAACGTGCCCAAGTCAAAAAAAACAAAATTACGAAGCGGAGAGAGTTTATACTACACGATGTCCATGTATTTAACTTTTACTGAGGTCATAAGACTTGTCTGACTTTTTTCGTTAGTATTTGAGAGAATACCACGCTAATTAGGCCACATACCTGACAGCTGGCCTTCGCGGTGGTCACCGAGATCGAAGGGGCTGGCGGCTTGACCCGTGCACTCTTTAACTGAAAAAAGAATCAGCCATCCAACATTGTTATAGCACACGGAGAAGAAATATACGCGCAAACAAAAGCCCTCGGCACATTCATATAATACACAGTTTCATTCTCGAACTCTTTTAGCCTTCGAACCTCAATACGTATCGCAGCCACGATGATATGCAAAAACTTACTTATGATTCCAAAAAACACCAAGAGAAACATGGTTGCGACTTTTAAAGATATTTTCACTATTTTATTTTTAATTAACACACTAGTTGCAGTATCTCAAGGAGTCGACACCCATCAGCAAATAGTGCTGTGTGATTACGTTACTAAGGATATCGTTCGTGCCACGGCAGCGTAACTCCTTAGCAATTCCCGTCAGCAATGGCGGTCCCGCCCATCATGAATTATTCCCGGCGGAGGCAGCGTAGCCTATCACCATTCCTTCCACTAATGGCGCTGACTGTTCGCCGCTAACAACACAGCGTAGACAAAGAACACGTTTTGGGCTGGTATTGTTCGTCGAAGCAAGGCAGAATAGGCTTTGCTATACGCGCTAGTTTCGCACTATTAAATAACTGCTAAACCTTACATCTTGGGTTGGCTCTTTTCACTTAAAAGTCAAAGCAGTGAACGCTGGACAAACAGTTCAACTGGGATGTAGTTTGCAGTTATGACATGTTTAGAGCCGTCAGAACCGTCGCTCGCGATAGTGATGACGGCCTTACACAATTACTGTCCACTCCGAAGGACTGTTGTGTAGCTGCTGTTGTTTCCGCTTCCCAATTCAGTCCTATGCTTTCATAACTAAATGTCGGTATGGGGAGGGACACAGCATATGCCGCAGGACTCTCGTCATCGCGACGGGTGTGTCATCGGGTAAACTTTACCTACACGGTGTAAGGCTACCAACTGGCGATCAATGAACGACAAGCATTGCATTCTGTAATGTACGTGAAGCATCCCGGAATGGAAGCGAAAAAGAGTATGATCAACTTTGAAATCATCTCTCGGAACCTACACAATGAGACGCTAAAATTGAAAAGCGCCTTAATAAAGCCAATCCAAAGTATGTCAGTTTTCTCTAAGGGTCTGCTGTACCAGAAATCGATGGATCAAATTTATCCACCTGTCAATATCTATCACTGGCCTTATTTTAAAACTGTAAAATTATCCAGAACCTTAGGAAGAACAACCTTAGAAGAACTTAAGGAGTAAAGAAGAGATTTAAGGAAAATTACAGAGTTGCGAAGACTCTGTCTGATCCTAAAGCACATGTTTTCCTACACACAGGACACGAAATTGTACAATGATAGATATCGCAAAAGATCAACGAAGCATAATCGTTGAGTGAGTTCGTTGAAATTTTACACCTAGACCAGTCGTATAACTGGACTAAGTAGAATCGCTATTGTCTTATCCTGGTGATCACTCTAAAGTACTAGTTATTAAATATAAACTGTGGTTACAGCCGTCAATGCCTGCTACGATGTCTTCACTAAGACACAAAGGGGCAATAAAGTAAGAGATGCCGTCCACGCCATGGATGAATGCGTAATAATAGCACCTAGTTTCATGTAACTAGTAAACCAAATACTTATCTTCAGAGTCGAGGATTAGAGCTGCATTATATGGCCTATGTTCGTCATGCATGCCAACAATCTTTCCGGACTCAGTATTGACATAAAAAAACAGTTACATTTTGCGCATAGCTAAACATATTAACGTAAATCCTTCTGCCAAAGGCTAACTGCTTGTGATTTAATCGGCAACGTTCCAATTATTTTACAGAATTAGTTAGGCTTAATAAAAAAAAACACGTTGCTAACTTTCTAATGCTTATAATTAACAAAAGATAAGTTTAAATACGTTCCTCCGTTGTACCAGTAATGCTACGGGTTGAGTAATGCTCTAGCTCGTATAATTCTTATGTAATTCAATGGCACTTGCAGCATCTAACCTGAAAATCTAAATCAGACTATTACTTTCCCTGCTAAAAGCGATGTATGCGTGTACACTACTCATTGTGTGATCTTTCAATTGGGTCTTTAACATCCGTCAAAGACCTGATGAAGATGCGGAATATAACAGCTAGCGACTGCCGCGAGTACTACAGAAATACGAGTACTACAGTTAGCCTCAGCTCGATTCCAGTTAATGATATCAAACATGAAATAAAATAATGATGATCTCGAAAAAATGCCAAAGGAACAGAGAGCAAGACATGATTACTAAATTTTTTAACTGACTTGTAAAGCTGCGGGTAAAAAGTTTTAAATAATAAGTAACTGGTAATCGTATTCGTACCCTAGCAATTGATATCTATAGTTTGGGATTTGCAACATAGATCTTAAACAGTAAAATTTATAAAATAGTTGACCTTTTCTATTGCTTGGAATACTGTAACATATGGTATACGGTTATGAATCTTGAGAGAATTGTTTTGACGCCGAAAGGCCACACAAGACTAGGAATAGCACGTAACGTGTTAATCTATAGAATTTAACCAATTACAATTACGCCCTGCTTGCTAAACCGGGATGCAGCAAGACGTGGTACGAAAGATCATCATTATTGCCATCCGTAAAAGAAATCTGGATAGCTCTACAGAGATAATTTCGAGAGGTTCCGCTGAAAGTTTATCAGTAAAATGGTGGCAAGACAAATTCGACTAAAATTCAAGGCTCTATCAGAAGTGCCTCATCATGGTATTCGGAAAGCCGACTTAAAACGTATTCTTGAATCAAGAATAAAGATAGAAGAATCTAGAACGATCTTGAGCTGTATAATAAATGTAGAGAGACAGCTCCGTCAATAAATGGACCTCAAACAGTGATGGGATGTGTAAGAAAGAGATGTTTGTAGGGCTACGTGGTGAATTGTGACTGGAATAATAGTTAATTAGAGGCAGGTGCTAAAGAAGTGAAATTTAGAGCGAATTCGAGATATTGAGTCAATCAATGAACAGGGTAGAGGTAGAATGTTAAGCAAAGACTTAGCGTGGTGATGAACAGCGATAGGAGCTGCTTTTAGGATCTTAGTGTGCAGGTTCAAGATGAGTAAATTAAAAGTCGTACAAGTAACTGTTGTACTTCAATCATGTGAATGAAGCAGCTAAAGGGGTACTTCAACAAGGCGAATAGGCTAGTAGTATTGAACAGATAGTATATAAGAAGAAGTTTAACTGTGAAAAGTGTTAAGCTGTAGTATTCTCACTTGGAAGGCATTTGCTAAAAGTCGAAAACTTACAGTCATTCAAGCCGTGTGGCGACAGGCGATAAATTGACTAGACTAACGAATTAATATAATGTTTGCAAGTATTTGGTTGTGAATTTAGAAGACGAACATGAGCGTCTCGCTGTTAGATAATAGACTACATCTTCCTACTGATTTGAAATCGACAGCTGAAAGAACACTTTCATCCTCTGAATATTCATGCGAGAGTGATCTCCCTTAAATAAACTTAGCGGCAACCTTCACTCGATCTCACAAGTTAAATAGTTTTAGAAAGAGATTTCAACATCATGATCCGTTAAACAGTCTGCGTAAAGCACAATAAACCGATATGCGATGTAAAACTGTTTGTTTAGCCACGTTTACCTCGGTACAGATGGCACTGGTCTATGTAATAAATAACATTTTACTGCTGATGCGACTCCATGGACAGGCTATATTGGGCGCTCTCATATGAAGGCGTACCGACATCGGTTGTGTTAATTGATTCAACGCATAATTTGAATAAAAGACGACCTTAAACTATTTTCTGGAATAAACGAATTAATTGCGAAGATAAATGATGTGCTATTATGCCGTGTCTAGGACATACTAAATGTGGATACATCATCAAGCAGATTAGCGGCAGAACACCTCGTGAAATTCGAAGTACGCTTTAGTTCCATAAAGCTATCTCGCGCGGCGTGCAACGTTTGCGGTTGAGGAAGTTATTTTAGAGACTCAGTAGAACATGGGATGGAGCTTATTAGTCATAAACAAGTGGGCTAAGTAGATTTTTCCGGCTAATCGGGTTGGAAATTTATTATCAAAATTCATCGAGAAATGGGTCCGCCTTTGCCATTTGGTAGGTTCAGCTTGACTAAAATAAAAAAAAATCCGCTACTTTACATGAACAATAGACCATTGATCCAAATAGTTTTCTTTGTACTGAAACTTTCAATGGAACTGATCTATATCTTTAGTGTCGGTTCCACAATTTTACCCTTTGTACCTCCTGCGCCAGTAGCTTGTATTGAGATCGATTTGAACCATTTCGCACGGCAGATCCCTAGATCACCGAGTTGTGGAAGGCTTATACTGATTATTTTCTGAAGCATGCTATTAACTAGTCGAGGGTAGCAAGATCATTCAAAAAATATATTCAACTTGAATAGTGAAAAAAAAAACTGGCTTATGCTCTTTCTAATGGAGAGCCCTATCTTCGCCTATGTTCAATTCCTGTTTAGCCACCTTCTATAGCACTCATATCGCTAGTGATCCCGATAATTTTTGGGGCATCAAGACAACGCAAAAAATGTATACTTCATTAAAAACTATTGTGTGTAGGAACTCTTTATGTGTGTGACTGACCGTGGTCTAAATGCTACGGACGTTGAATAACACCAATTTGAGCATTTCATCCTGTAATGCGTTCTGTTGCACAGGCAAATAAATACCTGTCTATCTACGTTCAATGATAGACATTAGCATTTTTTAAAGAATATCAAGCTATTTATTTCAAGGTGTCGTGATATAAGTGGCGTTAAGTCAGTGATTAGAATAAACTTATCATTATTATTATTATTACTCTCACCTTGAAGGTTTCTTCTCTGTCATCTTCGTGGAATCACAGCGGCGTTTCAAAGTCGCTGCTCAGATCTTCTTTTTCGATCTTCAGCAACTTTTATAATACTCGTGCATTCGCCTCAATAAAATAAACGGTTGGACTTAAAATGGCCGACTTCATGTGGCCCAGAGTAACAATTGTCTCATATCTTGACGCGAAGGGGGGGGGGGGAGGCTAATGTGTTAGACTCGTTTAATAGAGACGCATACATCAGCGGCGCTAACATCGTCAACTTTTGAAAAAAAACCAGAATTATCATATTTGGCTGTACTATCGTCATTTCATAGCTATTTTAAGCTTCCTTTTCTTACATCAGTCATAGTGACTATGTGTACATACTGCTATTACTATATTATACGGTGTGATTGATGACCTAACATAACCTGATAAAAGCGCGACAATAATTTTTCAGGCTTTTTCGCATTTTAATATATTCTGTAGTATCATAAGTATCTTTTTCTTCAAAATAATGCAGACAAAATAGCTTGTTTTATTCATAATAGCGCAACCTCTTTTTCTAGTTGTTTCTTCCGTTTCCCATCAATCAGTTGCTTTCTTATTACAGGTTACATTTATTTATTCACTGCGACATCTCTGCGTTCGAACACGATTGCATAAAGTTAAATTTTTCTTGTGCTTTTCACGATAGGTTGTTCTAATTATAGAAACTTATATTCTGAGTATTATCCTTATGTACAAGCAAATCTATATGCGTGGTTCCCGTAAATTTTTGGCGTTATAATTATCCAGTTTCTTTTTTATCATCCAGTTTCTTTTCTATCACCAACATCATCATGCAACCTTTCCTCTAATGCGCCAACTTGTTACGTGTCTTGCTCGACCTGACCGTTGCTGTTCTAGTATGTTTAGTCATAACATCTGCTCGCAATAACAGTAAAGTAATAGTTATTGTTTATACCCAGAATGCCAACGACAGCTTCTGTAATGTGCAGCGCCTGGTTAAAAAAATAATAGCAAATAAAATTGTAATAGTAATCATAACAATAACCAACTGGTGTAGAAGACCCTGTTCTCGGGTCTTCCTTACATGCTTTCGCCTATATGTATATATATGCATGTGTTGTCTTGTTTGATCCATTAGCAATTAATCTTCGTCAGACTTCAATGCTTTAGACGTCACTCAATTGATCAGCGAAGGAGAACTGAAGTTTGACAGGGGGAGAGAGAAAGGGAGAAGCAAACCAATAAACGGCACTCAAACCATCACGATTCTCTTGAAGTATCTGAAAACCTGGACCACGTAGCTGAATAGGCTCTTTCTTGTACTGTAACTTTTCTTTGTGTACGTCCAGCTTTCTACATTAAGGGCCAAACTGATATTTTTCCTTTCAATATACCCTTCTCCTCCCCTTTCCGCGTTTCTTCTGCCCCCTCTCTCTCTATCGTAATTTTTGTTTAAATCGCTCGCTTTTCTCTAGTATTTACGTATTGCCTATTTTCATCATCCATTTGTTGTTGTTGTTCTTGCTTCTGCTGCTGCTACTTTAAACGTATGCCTGTAGTAGTTTTTTATTTTATTTCGTGCGCCACTGTTTGTTTCTGTTGTCGTGTCTGTAAATATGCGTATAGTGTTTGCAGTATATCAATTCTGTGATTTCCCTTTGATTCTTTTACTTTTTTCCTTTGTTCTTTTCGCTGCAACCGAATTATACTTATCAGATGTTCCACGTTGTCTTCGTTCTGTTTCATTTTGTTCACTCATCGACAATCTCTCACTTGCTTTCTCTCTCTCACCAATCATTTTACAGAGTTGTAGATAATGAGAATTAAGATAGCCAGTGCTATGATGCCTGAGCCGATGAGACAGATCTGCTTCCTTCGTGCACGCTCCTGGTGATGACGGGCCTGACTTAGTTGTTCGGCCCCCTCGGCCACCCGGATGGTGGCGCTATCGACGCTCGCTTCAATCGAGTCAATCACTTCGCCCTGCTCGTGGACCATTGTGGCGAGTTCCTTGAATATGACATTCACGTCAATTATGTTTTGTTCAAGCTCGCTGACTTGTTCTTCCCATTGACGCACTATTTCCGTATTCGGGTCCTCCTTCATTATGAGAATTTGTTGGTAGCCACTTGACGGCTGGGCCTGCTGTTGCGTCTGCTGCTGCCCAGGCCGTGTGCTGGGCGGAGGTGGCAGCTGACCTCCAAGCTCGATGAGATTGCCACGCTGACTGGCTGCACGGGCTCGCCGAACCTCTGCGCGACCCTGATCTACCTCTTTATGTTGGATTGACTGGAACGCTTTGAGCGAATCAGAGAAATCGCTGGCTAGCCGATCTTTGACAATTTTGTTCTTGGCTCCCGAGTTATTGGCCGACAACTCTTTGAGTAGTTTATTTGTGTCCTTCGCTAGCTGATTGGTGTAACTTTGCATTTTACTCAATTGCTGTCGGACGGACTCATTGTCGGATGACGGCGCCGACTGCAGTTGCATAATCATCTGCTGCATAGAGTTGACATTCTGCGAGATCTTGCGAATGTTTGTCGTGATCGTCTGGAATCATTGGGCGCAATCAGGCAAAGTGCAAACACCAGAGAAACGAGAAACGTCAGTTATTTATTAGATAACATAGATAAGAGATCATTATTAAGTAACACTAACCAATGTATGGCAAAGTATTAGGTTGTCGAAAAGGTATTGACGGTTTTTCATCCAAAATTAAAGCAATTTTTTAATAATATTTTAAAACTTAATATGAGATATTCTGATCGATGATCATTTGCCATTTTTCAAATATCATCATAATCCAATCACTATAAAACGTCTTTAGTTTGTGAATGAAAAACTGTCACAAGTAATTTTTGCGCCATTTTACTAAAATAAAATTAAAACAATCCACAGGGTTTTGCAGAAACCGAAACAGATGCTGATAGTCTGATGATGCAAAATTTTAAGTTAAATTATTATTATTAAAAGTTCTCCTCAAATCTTGCAATGTTTGCTGGTTAGCTAAAAATTTGTGTTATCTGGCACTGTAGTGGTGGAATACGATGCGCTTTTGTCCACTTGTATAAATCGATTTTTTCAGTAGCTTCTTATAATCATGTTTGTTGTTGGCAGCAGAAATTCAAATAAATTACTTTGTCAAGCGACAGCAGCTCATATACACGATTGTATTCCAAAGCTGTCAAATATATAGCATAACCTTCTTTCGGATCAGTCCAAGCAGTTTTTGTGAACCTTTTCCCGCTGTGGCTATGACCTTTTTCGCTCATTGTCTTATATAATCGACTTCTTATAAACCCGTCATCAAACGAAAAACCTCGATTTTGTTGCATTTCTGTGAAGCCTTAGGGATGGAAACACGATTGAGTGAATTCTGTTTCGTCAAGTCGTATAGCACCCAAACATCAGCCCTCCTTTTGTAGCTAGCTTTTTCCAAATGGCTTTGAAGTCTTCGGTGGTGGATGCTTAGTTTTCAGGCGGCGCCATGGCTACTCACGTGTCAGTGTAGCTTAACTTTTTTCGTGATTGGTCAACCATTACGAGGGCAGCTTTCATATCGAAACTTCCCGAGCGAAAGCGACAGAACCATCTCTGGACCGTTTCTTTTTCGACAACGCATGTTGGCGTTTCCATATGAGCCTGAGCAGCATTTGTTCGTTTATCGTAATAAAATTTAAATTATAGCGAATGTTTCATTTACTTTTAAGGCATTTATAAAGCCTTTCCAACAATTAAAGAATATCTACTAGTGCCAAGTCTCGGCTTTTATGGTACCAGCACTGACTCATATTGTCTGAAATTCGAAAGCACCTAAAAAATCGTTTATATTTTTCCGCCACTGAATACTTCGATAGATATACAAATAGTATATAAATATTTGGCAGTAAAGCAACACTATTTAGTATACAGCTGTAATATATCCGTAATAATCAATTCGTTTTTTAACTACGATAACAAAAACAATCGAATAAAAAAAAAGAGTCAAAATTGTTTTTATTTTGTCAGTTGCAAAACAAGAGTACCAAAATGTCGAACAATATCATTTCCACTCTTTTATAAGTTTGATCGATTGCCCTCGCAGACTACAGCGAAGGAGATATCGAGCATTTCGGCAAAGCAACTTTGGCTAAATGCTTGCTGTAAATATAAAAATGTGATATTTTTTTTTATCCTTATATATTGCTGGGTGGTACAAGTCATCGTTTTTGTTAGAGTTAAATCAAGGTAAAACTTTACTACCATGAGTAACATTTATTCTGCACCAAGATCTTCAGCTTTCTTTGCATATCATCAGTAAGGGGCTTTAGTGTTCATAAAATCTGGTAAAAACAATTACACTGTCGTCTACACGTCGATATTTCTTTTAATCACTTTTTCTACGATCCTCCATTGGGTTGAAACATTTTTGTTTACAAGCAATTATCCACAGTTGTAAGCTGTGGATAATTGCCTGTAAACAACCCTTGTAAATAACGCATTGTACCACTATCGCCAATGGTTTTCTTTTCTTTTTTGTAATATATCATGCAACGATGACGGCCAATAATGCAATTTCACTGTTACAAATGCGTTTAAATTAAACACTAGCAACTACTAGACGTGCTACCCCAAAAACCAGACTTCCTTTTTGAGTTGCCTCTTTTAACAACTACAGGAATAATAACAATTCAAGCGATCATTTACGCCTTATCAGCATTATTAATATATATTAAGTCATCGAGAGATCGGATGACCAAGTCTTATCCACCAAGAAGTGTTCCGCAAGCGATGAGTTGATCTTAAAAGCCATTGAATCGTTCAGATGAAACTGCTAGCGACTACCTTTGCCGTTGCTTAGGTTCCACGTTGTTCTCATGATCGCGTTTGCCTGCTAATGTCAGGGACACGTGGCGGTTTAGGTCCGAATCCGGGCATGTCTATTTCATATCGGGAGTCAGCTGCCGAAAGAATGCTCAACGGTTGATGCCGGTAAATTCGAAACATTTACTGTTCCCCATTATGATTAAACATTCTAGTACAAGTCGTAGCATTTGATAAGCATATTTTGCGACCTCCAGTTCAATCCGGAGTCCAGGTCTATCCGTGCCTGTATTTTCCTATATATATGTCAAATATCTGTAACCTGGAGTCTAAATAAAGGTGAAAAGATGCCGTCTTAGAAAGGCTTCCTTGCTGGCACAACGAATCTGCGTCTACATTAAACCTTTTCGAGCATATTGTCAAGTACATGATACTTTTAACGCTTCATCTAAAAATTTGATTTCTATTATAAATGACTACATTACTTTTCAGTTGAATATTTTAAAATAATATGATTAACAACATCGAATATTTAGATTACAATGAATTGGCTATAATGATGCACAGTGATTAAGAGATCTGTGAGGACTCAACTACGTATTTCTGTACCCAGTAACTATTTAATTATCTGATCTATGAGAATAACGAGTTCTCATGGTTATCCTATATTAGCGCGTAAGTGTCGGCTCGTCCAGAGCTACTTCACGGTTGCAAGACTCGAGCGGTTTCAAACTACGAATCATAAGCATACCAAATTTGGCAAATATCTACATAAAACTGCTGAACATCTGTAGCTATAAGCTGACTAACTATTACTGGACAATGTTGAGCACAGAAATAAGGACATCGTTTAATGCTGAAAATTAAGGCTCAGTGATTATGTTTTTGTTTTTCGAAAGTGAAAGTACTTTTGGAATACTTCGAAAACTGATGAAAACATTGAATAAACAAGCCGTAGGCGAAACGACAGTTTGCTACTAATATAATCATCTTAGAAAATTAAAAACCATGAAGAAGGTGACTATATTTTAACACCTTAGGCGAAAGAACAAGTTCCTACGTCACCGAAGCTTGTGAGCAAATCAAAATATGAACTATAAGCTCTCTGAAAATTCAATGTGCGATTTTCCGGAATACGTATTACAAAATTGTAACAAAAACAGTAAAGATGAAAAACAAACGATTAAATGCTCGTAAGCTGAGTTAAAAATGGATGGAAATACGTATAGTGTACTCGAGGCAATATGACAAAAAAACCTGGAATATATCTTCGCTATAGGCGAAACACAGGTCAGTCTGTACAGCCTACTAGAGGAAGATGAGGCGAGAGAGTGGCGTGAAACGGAAGTGAGCAATTTAAGAAAATGGTCAATGCTGTCAGATCATTCGAAATCCTAAAGAATTTTACGTGTAGGGCGGCGATCGATAGCATACGATCTCGTCGCCATACTTCAATCACAACCCGAATCGAAGAAAACAGAATCGAGATATGGCATTAGCTCTCAAACTCTAGTTATTTAACACACCCGAAATATTGCTCTTCAGTTTTATACTATGTAAAAGTTTCACAAGCCCTTTAAGCTACTAAACTCAAAACAACCTAACAGATTAGCCTAAATTATCTTACGCCACCGAAAATAGCGGGTAATGCGCAACTCATGCTCAGAGCTAACCTCTTCCAAATGTCACTCTAATGAGTACGGTAAACCCGAGACCAGATATGTAACCTGGCGTATGTTCGTTTATAAGAACGGTGGTCTTTTTCACCATGTCAAACAACCGACCTTAGCTTTAATCCCAGTAGCTATAACATGCTGCTTTCAGGTCAGCTATTCCAACTAATTGAATTCGATGCTTTAAAGAACGCTTAACAATGCTCAACGAAATACGATTGGCACGGTATGTGATCTGTCCTCCGTACAGTTCGCACCTTATCTGTATATTTTTTGATTGAATCTAGAATCACATTTCTAAATGCTATGATACCTATGATTTTAATCAAACAAAAAACTGTTTATATAGTAACATATCATTTTTGTAAGTAGGTCACGTAGTTCTTACAGTATCTAGGCAACCGATTTTGGGTGATTTAATTACCACCCAGGTTTTAGGAACCCGCTATCAAACATTTCCTTTCCTCCTGACTTAAGAGATTCCACAAGTCAAAATGACTGCATTAGTACGGCCTGTCTATCATAGAATAGACACAGGCTGCCGTGCCATGAGATGTGTCGGACTGCTCCTTAATTTAGTATACATACCACTGACGAGCTTGGACACGTCACTGCATCTTAACTAAAGACTCAATTAGCGACGAACAGCTAATCAGACCGACGTTCAGCGCCAGCAGTATCGTTGCGAGTACTTAGCTTTGCGTGTGATAGTGGCAGCTGAGGTGTACATAATAATCTTAGTGAGTGAACTGAATTCAAGCTCAACAAAACCGGTTAAAATGACCATTCTAAAGGTTTTTCACAACGGGATAAAATTGACCGCGTTACATTTCATAGCTGCTAAAGATGATAAATTTTCTCATACACTACTACGTGTAAGCGTCTGTATATTGTGGTCTGGTTGTAACATTGAGCTTATTAAGTAGCCATGCAAGCAATAAATTAATGAGTAATCACACGTTCAACACATATGAAAGAGTTCATAAGCATAGGACGCGTGTCATGATGGATACTTACGTGTTGTTTGCTTAATACATTGAAAAAGATAGGACGTTCCCATTGTAATTTTTTTGCGTAATTCGCAACAAATTCCGTTGAACGCCACGTTAGTGATGCTTGTGGAGAGACAGATCTGGGTAAAAAATAAGCAAATTAATTCAAGTTAACGCATCCAGGAAATAAAAAAAATAATGAGTTTTTTGGAATCCGTTCAAAACCAAATCAAAGCGCGGAACACAAGGCCAAAAGAAGGATTAAGGTGCTTACTAAAACTTTGTAAACAGTATTATATCAAGCAGCTATAGCCTCTACGTATTGATACCAGTCGGCTCATAGCATCCAGCAGTACTACAAACGCGGCGAGTTTTCGCATGGATGAAAATCGTTATGGATTTTGATAAATCGTAAACTGCAGAGCCAATGAATGTATTACTGAAATACGGTCTAGATGCAACTACCTGATGAACAGCTGCCGCACCTAGGAGAAGAATATCGTAATAATAGTCGTAGGACCAGATAAGCTCTAGCTCGAAGACTGTGTACTTTCTCAAATTATATAATAAATCGAAGCGAACTAGATGAGCTGCTTAGCTAATCACCACCATCACTGTACTTGTATCTTAGGAAGGCAATTCCTACCAGTTATTTTCCACACAGAAAATCATAACTGAATGGTGTATTCATTGTTTACAACAATGACCGCCATCTATTTACTACCATTAGTGTCGCACAAATGTTCTAAATCGGTCATATTTAGTCAGAACAGAATTCCCTGTTAGTATTTTATCTTATTAGCAAACAATGAAAGCCTATCATTGAAGTGAAAAGGCATAAAACAATAGTTAAACGACATAAAATTCATGCGTAAACACTTAACACTGAACATGAATAATACGCTCGAAAACCCTGCCAGGTTAGGTGGATTTATCATTGAATACTCGACACCCGAAAGAAGACTGACTCGTAACTATCACCGATGACAATCATTAAATCTGTTTATAGAGAATCGTCATAGTTAAAAAAATATAACTTTTCATTAACAAATTGTTTTGCATATCTTTAGGAAAAATACTCCTTGACGATACGATATATCAACCAAGACAGACCCATGGTCTGTAGAAAAAAACGAAATTTTTAGTGCCGATAAGCGCATTTGAGGCTTTCTGGAATAGTCTGTGAACAGAAAAGCTCAATTTGGTTGTTGTGGAATAATCATTGTCAGCCTGAAATTTCAGTGTCGACAACATTAACTTTGAGACAGATGTTTTTATCGATTTTCTAAGGCCTAACCGTTACCCACAACGTATAGCCATTGTTTAATAATTTGTTGGCATATGTAAGATTGCTGCTAATGGTACAGACTATGCTTTTTTGACTGTAAACTTGCTTAGGAAGCCTATCTATATTGCCTTCCTACAATTGAAGAACTGTTTTAAGTCGCGCCAGGTATTCAAGATTAGTCAGGCACGGTGGTCGAACTCTGAAAACGTTTCTAAATAAAATAAGCTCTAAAGTTATTCACAGAAAAATGTCTCAGTCTTCACTGAAGACGCTGCTCCGCCACGATGTTACTAGAAAAAAAGCGTGATTCATATTTCAGTACGATGGAACTCAAACATTATTGGTGCAAGAAAAAACGCTAGATGCGTTCCAGAACGATTCAGTCAGCCCTGAATATTGAAAATCGGTATTGGTAAATGGATGCGCATCAAAAAACGGGAATTTTCAAAACACAAGTCCAACGAAAATCCTGGTTTGGATACATGGATCAAAATTACACCCCACTGAACCGACGATAACTAGTGACAAAAGTACACTAGCTTCCGTCAAAGCGAATAAAAATCAAATTGCATAAAAAGCCTATCAGTCAAAACCACGTTCTTAGTATAGGTTTGCGTCGTTTATGTACCCTAGCTAAGTCTGAGGAAGTGAAATTTTATTAGCTCGGATGCTATTGGGCTTTTACTATTTTTATTATTAGCACGATTGAAGCAAGTACATCATTAGCTTCAACAGCCACATAAATCAACAAAATCAAAATTATACTAAGTCCCAAACAGCTAATTTCATAAATTAGGAAAAACCCTAATCTGACGTTTTGTAAACAAAATATTCCAGTGCAAGTGAAGCGGCCTATATCACTTGCTTCGTATCAAACACTTACCGAACGTTTAATTCTTAACTTGTTGTTAGTCACCTTAGATAGTATTGATAGCCTCGAATAAAATAAATATTAGACAGTCTTGATAGCGTCGAATAAATTAGATATTTTAAGTTTTACATCCAATACTCGAGCCATTAGGCGTTGCTTCAGAGGGCTCGCTCTTAGAACGAAACTAAGTCTTTAGACAGCCTTATTCGGACTTTATTTTTTTTATTTTTACATACCCTTAATTTCAATAGGCAGACACGTAACTATTGTATTGCATCTTACAGAAATGATGACGACATCGAATAACGCCTACAAAATCTCTAGGCTAAAGTAGCAAATATTTTTATAGCTCTTGCATATTCTACCAAAATTTCTCATTAATTTGAGTGCAATCAAAGACGTAACCACTAATTTGCTCCATCAATTATCGCAAAAGACTGCTAGTGAGGCACCGCGTGCAAAATTATATATTACGCTCAACATGTAACGGGTTTAATGTCTGAACACTTCCCGAAAACCTAGGGACATATTATTAATTAGTACCGAACGATACATGATGCTTTAAAAATACCATGCATGTCGTTGGAACTTTAGAATGTAAATCTAAAAACAACAAAATATCGTACAGAGGCGTAGCCTTAGGGTGACCCAAACGATTGGTTGATTGCTTGATAGAACTGTACTTCCTAACGAAATCCCTCTCGCTTCGCAAGGTATCATAAACATCGTGAGATTATTCACGTATGCAACAGAAGCTTGTGGAGGGAACAGAAACCGAAGGACGGGTCTGCAATAGGAAGAGTTCCCTAATATCACTACATTTGAAAACGTCCGCACAAACTCCGTGCTGCTGCAATCCGCCGCCCGTTTGGTTATTTTATTTGCAAAAATCTTTTTCAATCTGTGTTGCTAACTAAATAGTACTCGAGCAGTATGCAGTTCTTGAGAAATATCTGGAAATATTTAAATAACATCTAAAAAAACTAACCAAAAAAAATAGAGGCGCAGAAAGGAATCAATATGCGTCTTCAGATGCTCATCATCAAATGATAGCTACGTTCAGTTAATAATGACTGCATACGAATAACCCACCCGTATGAGGTTTGAAAAAGAAGTCATAGTCTGTGTTGCGTTAATAGATAAACAGCTTCAACCTACAGCGGTTGTTATTGGCCTCGTATGACATTACACGGTCAGCTTGTTCTATAGATATGATGAAGGCGCTCGTTATCCCCGACTCATGTGACTGCACAGATTATCCGTTAAGCTCGATCTGTATCTCTGCGTAGTTCAGTTTTTACCCACTAATAATAACAATGATATATTACGAAAGAAACAACTCGAACTGCATTTATTTAAGCCACACTGCATCCGTGATGATAACTGATTCCATTAAGTGACAGCGGGTGACGTGGACAAATCGACTCCATATCCACCCGGTTGAGCTCTAGCCCTCTCATCTGAGACACGGCCACTTTAGCGAGGAATTCTGTCTTTGTAGCAGAAATCTGTCTGCCGCACTGCAGAATCTTTTACACTCATCAAGGGATAGCAATTTACCTTGGAAAAAATTAAGCACCGAACACACAAGCTAACTTTCACCCTTTTTTATTCATATTCTATTCATCTCTCATTTCAGTTATCTATAAAATTAACTTTGTTTTATTAGCTGATAAATGACAACACGTACATTAGCTGTACACAGTCATGACCGCATCTGATCTTAGTAGTGGTGGAATTGGTATTGATCGATGATAATCATTGAAGCCCAATTGTAAATCAACAAACCTGCGTGAGTTGGTCGACATCTCCTTGTGACTGGTACATGATGAGGCCGGAGAAGTTGGCTGCCCTGTTGGGGCTGCCTAATCGTCACTGAAATTGTTAACAACGACGACAAGATAATTCCACGTCAACGATGACACCTTGTCTTTGTTTTGGTCTTCGCAGCTGCCGGTGGAAAAAGATGACGAACTGAGTAGCTATAGCTTTTATCGTCCAGGATTGTCTGGCGTACGACTTCGTTCACTAACCAAAACAGCAAGAAAACGTAGTTTACGTCGTCACGTAAATGCGTATCAATCGATGCGTACTATTTATGCCACGATGATACAGCAGGAGACAGACACACCGAGACAAATCAGCACTAAGAGCACCAGCTAGCGCTGGTCTCCTGGAAATCCTTAACAAGCTGCTACAACACCACTGTTGACTAGATGGTATACGAATTTAATCGAAGGAGTTTCGCATAGACAACTACCCACTAATTTGGGTTGTTCTTAGCAGAGCGACTGCTGTTTCCATACACACAGAGATTACAGTGGTTCCCCTGTAAATGCTTACCAGACAGCGATTTACATCGAGTCTTGTTTACGCCAATTGGGGAGGGGGGCGGGGGGTATTTTGTCATTCGCCGTCTTCGTTCTACAAATAAAGGGTATCTCTAAGTGAAAGTATGCGAAATTTTCAAACATATATAGAATATATTTGTAGGTGAACCTTTTTTGTCGGACACCAGCCAGCTAAGCCGGTTCATGAACAGACAGCTGCTACCCCTTTGATAGCAAAACGCGGCTGGCTTTACTTATAATCGAGACAAAACTAAGTGTACTGATAAACCCTACGCTGGTCAGATATAAGCAGAAACCATTTATCGGCCCCAAATATCTACTGATGGAACCTGTCAGGAATATCGTTACTGCAAGGTGGCTGTTATTCTGGATTTTGTGCATTCAAATTTGCCGCTACTCTGTTAGCGGAGCGCTCTCCTCCTTTCCATGGGCTCGGCAACCTTTAAATTTCGAATAGTCGTTTGTTTTGCTGGTGATACCGCTTTCTCTGCTATCCTGCGTGGTGGTTGTACTTTCATCCATCGCCGTCAATAGCACCGCTACAGCCAGCGGAGGCAGCCAATAACACACTATCCCTTTGTTGTCATCTAACAGAGTGACTGAACGACCGTTGATCAAAGAGATAGATGGTGACGATGTGTCGATGGTCCTTTATGCAGTAGTAGCGCCTCTCACCGTTCCAGTAGCCAATGGGTGTCCGGTTCAAGTGGTTGTAGCGGCGGTCAAACTGAGATCGGCTAGCTGTGAAGGCATTATCCTGCACTTGCGATCTGCGGGAATATGCGACCGCCGTGTGAAGCTCGATGACAGAAACACAACAGAGGAAAAACGAAAAAAGCAAAATTGAAAAGATACATCGACGACGACACTCGTGTATCATTCTGCTGCTAGTACGAAACGCCTAATAGTTCGTCGGCATTTCGAGTCAGCCGCCAGAATATGTGTTTACCAGCAGTACAGCTATTGAGATGTCTCGTACCGAAGTAAAGCTGCTGACTGATCTAGACCGTTTGTTCATTTCGTTTAACACATGCTTTATAAATATTACAGCATATATCTATCTGGGTGCAGGAGTGTATACAGGAGTCTGTACGGGATGTAGAAAACATGTGTGAGAATGGCTGTGAATGTATATCGTGCCTCTATACATATATATATACATATATCTAAATGAGTGTATACATTTTTCTCTTATCGTGTTGAGCCCACTCGGTTTCATTGTTAAATCGAGCTCACGAGATACCCTCACTTTTTTCCTCAATTCATTAATACAACTGGGAGCCAACCAGCAAAGCGTATCTGCACGAATATCTGCGATTAACATAGCCCCGTATGTTCGGATCATCTTATCGGTAACAACCAGCTCTCCGCCGCTGAAGCATGGGTTCCTATCTACTATTTAGTGAAAAATTGACTAAAGACACTACACCGGTCGGTGTATCATTATTTTGCGAAACTAAAGACAAGCAATTCCATTGATCCAACACTTTTTTATCCCAGTGTTTATTCTTGTAGCTAACAGTAGTCTCTCGGTGCAGGTGTCTCGATGTTGAGTGACTGCTCGATGTGTTTGGGAGCGCAAGTGTGTGCTATTGTTATTGTTGTGTATGTCCTCGGTACGAGTCGCTGTTGAAGTAGTTGGTCATGCTGCTAGCCAGTTGTGAAACGATAGCAGAACGTGGTTGCTGTTCTGAGTGGCTTTTGTCGTATGTAGCTTTTCCAGCATGTAGGCATAGCCCCGGTGATGTGAGGGCATGTGCTGCGCAAGTTGTGCCACTTACGACTAGCCGCTGCGTCGAGCTTAAACCTGAAGAAACAACGACAGCAGCAGCAGCGGTTAGCAGTCACCCATTATTCGTTGACTGGTTGGCCGCCACCATTTGTTCCTCAGAGCATTCGTATCCCTCATCGCCGCTGGCGGTGTCAAACCTCTGCTCTTTGCGAGGTCTAGTTAGCGCGCTCGTACAATGAGACAGATCGGGACACCCCCGCTAATGCGTCCACACGACTCGGATACGACGGGCGGCGGCCAGCGGGGCCACGGAGGGGCTTCCGGAGGCCGTGGTGGTGGAGGATACGGACACCCACCTCAAAAAAGTGGACGACGTCAGAAACGCTACGAAGTGTTCCCCGGAAGGAATAAATTTTTCTGTGATGGCCGTCTCATGATGGCCAAACAAACTCATGTCTTCTTATTTACGTGCACCCTCATCATCGGCACGTGTACACTATTCTTCGTTTTCGAGTAAGTTAATTGAATATAAAATTAAAGCGAGAAAGAAAAATCCGATCTGATTTGTTTTTAGACACCAGAAATAGGTAACCTCATATATATCGATATTATCGCCGCAACCTGCCGAAAAAGCCACTGAAAACTAGCAAAACGGTTAGTAATACTTTTAGATCAATCAGAGCCTTAAAACATATGACTATGTATACTATAAGGATACTATAAGGACTATAAAACATAAAACTATGTAATGCCGCAGCAACTATGTAGGTCTATAACAAACTCTTCTAAATGTTTAATTACTCGACATCAATAGGAATTCATTGTAAGGTTTTCGAAGATTGACGCGTGACCCAATATTTCGTATAACAAAAGCGTTACTTACTTAGTTCTCTCACTTCGGTTTGTCAGTATTAGCCATGTCTATCGTCCTAACGCAAAACACGACAGCAGATACATAGTAGCAACAATTGAAACGGTTTATAAGAAACAATTGTGTTCTGGAGGTCTTCAATCACCGGTTAGAGTCGACTCTAGCCGCCCCGGCTTATTACCGGGGCGGCAAAAGTCGAAGTTCTTCGAACAAAAGCCACTATTCTATACAAACTAGTATATTCGTGCAATTCCAGATTGCATGAATATAGTACTTTGTTTAGCAAAGTTTGTAAGTTGAGGTGTTAAGTGCGATAGTCATTTCATTCTATAAATAGAACAACTGTACTCATTTCAACAATTTTATTCTACTCATTATCTATCTATTATCATGGTGTTGCTAAAAGTCTGTGCTTGTTTGTCTGCTTGTTTGCCAGACCCAAGACGACAAATTGAAGTCAATTTTTGGCTGGTTCGCTTCTGGGAAAATCAGCGCGGAAGATGAAGCCGACTGGCCAAATCCTTTTCCCTACAAGGAAAAAAGTTTGCTTTTGATCGTAGAGCGTAGTGTTGATTTGGTTGACTGTAAATCGACGGAAGCGAGTATTTTCACATTTCCTGCTTAAAACAACGTCGTATTAGGACTTAAGTGGCTATCAGCAATGTCCATGCTTATATGTCGTATAACGCAAAAACGTATATTTCTGTGCAAATTGTGTAGCGTAAGCCAGCGTGCTCGAGGTTTGCTTAATAAATTAGGTAGGCGCAGAACAAAGCCTGCAGGTTGCCCATCAGTATATTACTCCTGCTTTGTTGAAAACTGACTAACAGGTAATAATACATATAACAGCTGTCATGCGTTTTTTCCGATTCGCCAAAATCGTACTTAAAAAATTTATGCGCGTTAATATATATATATATATACATATATATGGTGTGGGTGGTCTGTCGTTATTTAGTGTTAGAGTCTCGGTAACGTACCTATTCGTAACGTAGTTGTTGCTGGTGGTGCCGATGGAGATTGGTGGTGCGGCGTTCTTCAGTCTAAAAATCTGAGGGTCAGGCAAACAATTAGTTGCCTGTCTGTCTAACACCCGTCGATTCACTGGAGGCTGAGGAACACTTTCGATTCACATTCTACGATTCAGAAAAGAGCGCCCTAAGCAGACAAAAGCCAGCTAAATGTTGGCCATCGTATCTTATCGGACGCTTAACGCCCCGTTGGCCCATTCTTTATTCTTCTACGAACTAATTATGACCTTTAGAACGAAAACTTCGTACAACGAAGGACTCTTATGGATACAGTGGTCAGGTGTTTGTGCAAATTAAATGTATGGTCGGAGCACGAGAGTCCTTGACACGAGGAACTACGTTAGATATCTTAACATACCTAGCGTAAGGTGGCTCCATATTAAAATAGAAACATTAGGTAAGTCGCAAGTGAAAAATTATTGCATTAAACAATAGTCACTTTGTGGGTGTTTTCAGACATCGACAAAGCCCGCTCGCAAACTTGACCTATTATAAATTGGAAAAGCTTTTATCGCGATAATTTTATTAAGTTATACTTGCAGGTGGGGTCATAAGTATTCCGTTTAACGACCTCTTCTCACTAAACAAATTAGGTCACTACCAGAGTGCAGGCAATCCTTATCCGGAGTAAATAGACTAGTATGGTTGATTGAAACATTTGCCTTTAGGGGTTTATATAACTATTTAGGGTACGTTACCTAAATTTGAACTTTCGCTCATCTACCATCGTCAGTAATCGAAAAAAGGCTATTCTTTGCAGAACAAAACTCGTCGTATTAGAAAGACAGTGCGTCGTTTTCGCAATTAGCTAAATGACCTATTATTCTACAGTCTCTTTACGATGGAAGAACACACTCGAAGATACAAAAACTTTCTTCGACCTGAAATTGATTGATAAAATTTTTCGACCTGCGTTATTGGCCAGTTTTTGGGTTACGAAAAACCCGAGTAAAATTTCTATAAGGCAACCATACGGCGAATCGTAAGGTCCTAAATAGCTTTTATATTTAGAGGACTCAAAGTGTATCAACACGGTTCAAAAATTCATTTTTGATATAAACATTAACGGTTGTTTTTTGGAAAGAAAAATACAAATTCGTCTACTTGGTTTGCCCAGATAAGCTGCAGCTTTTCGAACTCTTTTTTACCTTTCGGACTTTTTGGTCGTTTTGTTTGTAGCATATTTTAACGGCACTTTGAATTCATGCTTACCAGTATCGCTTAATGAGGTACGATTAAAAAGTTATTGGTGAATTAAAGAAGGAATAGTTTTAAAAAAACATGTGAATTGTTTTGGACTTTGCAACGTGAGTGGTGGTGATATTGGATACACATAGCAATTGGCAATAACATTTTAGGAACGTGTAAAAAATTTTTTTGAAATAAAGAACAGACCAAATATATATATATATATATATATATATATATATATGAGTCCAAATTCTAAATTGGATGTGGCGAATCATTTAACAGTTAGAAAGTTTTCATTTTGTATCTGTTAGGGTAGTAAGAGATACGCAAATGCATGCTATATAAAGGGTCTATAACTGGTAAGAAATTCTTGCTTCGCATTGTATAGTATGAGATAAACACAATCTGAGTCCAATAGAGAAAATAGATTTTGCTGCTGCAGAATGCAAAAATCTTGGCAGTAGCGTTCTTTTATTAACCCGCAAGGCGATCGCGCAAATAATTTACTTAAAAAATACCAATTGTGCCTTCATATACAATTGATGGGAGCGTTAGCCATTCTGGTATATCCCCGCTGCTCACAACTGTAATTTATGGAGAAATTGGGTTAATCACTATGTATCTGCAGAAAACCTGTTATGGAGCTCTCGTAGCATCTGCTGTCAGGAAAATATTATGTTTTGCCAGTGCGTTTTTACCCCCAAATCAAGCCAAGCTCATTTTAAGGACACCAAGTAAAGATATGTCATGTCAGATCGAGCATTTCCTTTTGTATTTTTAGCCGGTTTATGATATTTATTATATGAGATTTTATCTAATTCAGCTACGGAAGACACTTGCTGGCGTTAAGCAGGTCCCAAATAAAATAAGCAGCAAAAACATTTTAGTTAGTGCATACCTTGTACTGCCTTTAAGACTCTATAAGTGTGTTTGCCTACATCGTACACAAAAATGCTGGCCGTTTCGACGTAAATTGCGGCCAGACGAGCATCATCAATAGAATCGCGGCTGATTGGCTTTTTTTTTGTTAGCGCTGCCATGACCACGACGGATTGTTGAGAGTGTCGGAGCCGATGAACAACACCAGAAACTGGTTTACATAAATATTTGAATATGGCCATACCAAGATAAACCCTTGTAGTACCACAACGCCTAACTGATAAAACAAATACAACAGAAGATAAATGCGAACGCGCACAAAAAGAAAAACCGTAAAAAATATTCTACAGGAAAAACTAGCCCAAACATAAGCAGGTCAATGACCACCGATTTAACACTTTATCCACGTTTATCATCCTTTGGTCTATGAAGTGCAGTATTTTTAATATCTTTAGTTGTCGTTGTCAGCTAGCCGTCGAAAGCTGATAAATCATAAATCGTTAAAAAAAAAGTCAACCGTGAACAAAATTTAGCAGATTTACTAATTTTTAACCAAAATAATCCGTTGCAAAACAACGTTGTAACGACAGTAAACTTGGTATGAACAACTGACATTTTTGACGAAGTCATCAAATTGTCAGGACAATTCTTGTGTAGAATGTAGCACAGGTTCCTTTAACGTTGAGAGTTCCTGTCTCAGCTGTATGACAAGTCTAACAAATAAATTGATGGAAACATGGGGCTAATATTAACAATGCACATAAAAAATTAACTTTTCAACTTAAGGCGTGAAATGGGGAGAAATGAGCCTATTATTGTGAGGCATCTTTATGTCATCTACGAAAAAAGGTCAAATAATTCATCTTTAATTTTTAATACTACAAATATACTCCCAATAAGTACGCTGCTGTTTCCATTAAAAAAAGTTCATGCAGAACTGATTAACAGGCAAGACCCCTGCTCGCTTTATACGGAAACAATTATCTGTAAATCGAGGATTAAACGGCCAGTCAAGTAATCAAGCTGTTGTGCACGAATAGACGCCAATACTGAAGAATTGAATAATGGAATATTTGAAATATTAATTCTGTGAGACATGCTGAAAAATATTTTAGAAGCGTATTTCAACACCGCATGAGGATAAATAAAAATGATAAAATATAAAGTATTTTATTCTCAGCACGTGGAAGTCTAACACTTCTTCAGTAAAGGCTTCAGCCCACATTTGCCTTAGGCTCCTGTTGATTTTATGTTAGCATTTAGCTACCCGAGATTTTAAGGCTCTTTACAAGAATTAAGGTACGCTCATTTAGAAGCTATTTCATCATACCGTATTTTCTGTTAGAGCAAAACATCTATCTGAACCAAAAAACTGGCGTCAAAGAGGCATCACAAGATTGTATTTTCTCCAAAACGAGAACTGAAGTTGAAGGCATTATACATCTAACGGTGCTAGTTCATTTCAGTGATTTGCTATATGTTCTCGGACACAAGGATAATTTGAAAATGAGACATTGTGTCCCCACGTGAGTCCATTTCGACTTTTTACATATGTTTCACGAAACACCACTTTTTAGCTCGAAATATTTATACCATGATGAGTTACTTGTCATCTTTGCCCAACATTTCAGCAAGTTTATCAAATAACAGGGAGAAGATGACAATGTAACTGTTAAAAAGTGGCCGGTGTATGGCACGGTATAATATCTCGGTCAAAATGATAGACACTTTTTTTGACATGCATTTAATCGATGTTTGGAGTTATCATCATTCTTATTTAGGGTACGCGTGTTTAGCTGCGTTTATTAATAGATTACTTCTTTTTTCGTTTAGTTTGTACAGAGAATACCTTATACACCCTAGGTAACTATCGTACGAAAAATAGACGATAAGATTTTTGCACAATCCGCTTCTGCATTGGCGATCGTTATACGCATAAGGCTCCTTGCTTAAAATATGGCAGGGCTCCTTTGTTGGGGGGAGTGAACCATTATGTGTTTAACAATGGGAATATATGCGCCATATTTCATCGGCACTTTGCACCAACCTTTTACTTTACCAAAAAGAGGAAAACATTTAAAGCCGAAAATGATTCTTTTTCCTTCTCATACTTCTTCGATCATAACTCTTTTAGTCCGAATTCGTAAGGTAACGTTAGCAGATAGTCACGAGCTGACTATACATATGTGGAGACGGGCTTTCGTTCACCTAAAACTTTTCTTTAAGGGCCAACCAAATAAAACAAAAACATCACAAAGGAAGCTCATGTAAGGGTGCACCAGAGGTGTCACCCACACGGAAAGTAGCGCCAACTATAAGATAAAGGGTATTAGAATTTCTTATTTTGATATTTTTTTTATAAAAATTTTGCAGCGGTGCGCACTTCTGATTTTGTAAACTTTTATGTACTAATGAAAATTTGAACTAAAATTTCCAATTTTAGGATACGATTCTATTGTTCACAGTATATATATATATATGTATATATATTGTGAACTAGGGGAATATTAGGAAACAGCCTAGGGAATTGTGAAAAGCGAAAATCATTTACAGTATAGAAACCCATGACTTCTAAGAACCAAAACCCTTCCAAATATTGTGCTTTACCGTTGTAAAAAAGCTTCCCTCATGTAATTAGGAAGTATCTAGTTAAATATCCAGCTCTGATGTATGAATCAGTGTCTCTGAAAACGAAAGTAGCGCTAAAAAGAAGAAGGTGCAGTAGAGCTATATAATAATTTCAAAGTTGTCTTTTTATGTCAAGACAATAGATGAGTGCGTTTTTAGTCGAGAGCTTCTGCTAGAATATGTAGCAATAATAAAACACATTGTGATTTCCAGACTTTATCTGCATCACTGTAACGGAAAAACCCGAATCCTTTCCAGATTAGTCCTTAAAAACAAGGTCAAAGGAAGCTCGCTACCGCATAATTTTTTTCAGAAAACCGCAAAACGCATTTCAACGATTCTCTAAAACAACAATTTTTTTTATATTGATAAATGGAACGTTTTATAATTTATATAATAAATATTATAATTGGAAACAAGTATATTCAGGAGTGGAATTTATATTGTAAATATTTTGGGCGGGTAAATTAGTAGTCGGAAGCTTCTAATTGTTTTCCTGTTCTAAGTTTTTCACAATGAAAGGTCGTATGTAGCTAGAGAGCTATTGCTGTTCAAGGCTACTGCCATCGTTTTGGACCGCTAAATTTTGTCTTAGGCAAATATGTCTAGTATCAAAAAAAAAATTCCTTACTTCTTATCTGTCTCTAGGCGAAGTCAAAGACCAGCCAATATGGGAACCAAACCCAGGATGTGTAGAGCAAACACGAGAACTTTTCAGCTAAGAGAAACCCCTAAAAAAGGCTTGTCAAGTGAGAAAGGCATTTTCTTAGAAAAGTTTTATTTTACTATTTCTTCAGGCAACTTTTGAGAGAATAAAATTATTAAGTAAGCCTCTATTTCTTACCTATGGAGTCACCATTGTAATAAGTTTCTCAAAATTTCGGAGAAAACTCGGTTGTTTGCTCTGGTTTGTTTCCGTAGCTACTAGATGCGTGCGTACGTGATGTCACTGATTTTCATCGGATATTCGGATCTGGCGGATTCGAATTCAAGGTCTTTCTGCAACAAAGAAAACGGTTCCAACATCTGCTTATCAACATACGTGATATGCGACAACTAATAAAAAAAAAATATATATATATATAAGGCGTTGGGATTAAATTAAAACAACGCTTTATGTCGCTTGCTAATGTGCTTCATCTAGATAAAAGCATTCGTATAAATTAGGCGTGTAAGTAGGTCGCGGACTCATGTCAAAACATTGCATTAATCATTTTTTAATAGAGATAGTAGGCGAATTGTATGTCAGACTCTCGTTCCATCCCGTTCCGTTCGTAAGATTAACATGAGCTGCAAAGAGGCCATATGTCCTTACTCCACACCGTACTTACACGTTGTTCGATTTAAAGCACGCACTATATAAAAAGCGGGGAAAAGAAGAATTACCATTTCTAGTACAGTAATAAAAGAATACCATTCCAATGTGTAAGTGAGCGGATACTTGGGTTAGCCTTGCGTAAAGGTGCGCGCATATATATCTTCGTATATCTGCGTTGTTCGAATATTAAAAGCGCTACTTTTTTCGTAGATATATATCAATATACATATACATCTGAAAGACTTTTTCTTCGTTTGTTTTAAGCAGAAGTGTTTCCATTCCATATGCCAATGTTGATATAGATGCAAAAACGTTGATCAAAACTCATGACCTACTTCAGATATTGATATATGTATATTTTTCCCAGCGTTTATCACGACGCATTTCGTCTGTTTCTATTTTGGCTTCTTTCGGATTTCCTAATAACACAGAAAAATCCTTATATAAAAATTCATACTCGTTGAAACTTCTCCTGAATCCTTCAGGAATCTTCATTTCAGTATTCAAACGAAGACAGACACATTCATAGACGGGTTACGTTGGTAAAGACCACGAAATATTTCTGACATTTACAATAAATGTTTACCTTGGGCTACTTTCTCAAATTATTTTTTATAAAACGTATAATAAATGAGTGAACGTTAAGCGTGACCGGGAGACTTCATAATGTAGTATAGGCGCGGGATACTGTACGTGTGGAACTAGACCACCGTACGGTATATGTGACAACGTGCGGGAAGCGTAAAGAACGTTTGCAGATAATCTGGTTAATAATAATCACATTAGCTGCCGCTGCCCGTCATGATTAGAGGTTTTCACTTGGAACATTGTGCATAGCTGTAACCGAATCGGCACATTCTAAGGCTTCTCGCGCGTCATGGACGTGCCTTCAGCACTACAAGCGTAAGGCCGTTACAAAAACAGAATAGTGTGAAATTATGATTTCATTCGTTCATGAACAGTGGTGTGACAATGTTCTAATACATGTTGACTTCAATCAACTATGTGTGAACACAGTTTCACGTGACTGTGGTAGTCGACATACTTCGTCGTTTTTTTTTTGTGGTATACACAATTACAACATTTGGCTTTCCTTAGAAGAACTGAAAACTTTAAAGAGGTACGGTCATATGCATTTGTAAATTCGTGAACACTTTAGTTTCAATCTAATACTTCTGTTTATGGCCCTGCCTTTAGACGAAGTGCTTTAGAATACTCTTTGGCAAATCGTTATTCAGGGTCGATATAATAATAAATTACATACCAGATTCGACTAAACCCACCCTTCATTTCTATTTGTGTCTATTCGCCCATTTCTTATCGACGAGGGGTCAGGATTGCTACTTTCGGTACTTAAATACGCTGAGGGATATTTCAAATTCGCGAAGGCTTGATATTTGTGATTTTCGGAAATCTACCATTTGCAATAAACCTTTTCCGTAGGAAATTCGTAAGTTGTGATATTGAGTATTAGAATCGTCATGGCCTGAAAAATTACTAAATATCTAAGAAATATTTTACCGAGATTTTGCAAAATAGTTGTATTAGTATTATAATAATACTGTTATTACAATCAGATTCAGTGTTCACGAGAAGCAAAGGCGTTTACAACTGTCATTATTTGTTGTTGCTAGCAATGTTTAGAACCTGTTTGAAGCTGGATCTATTATTGATGCCGCCATTAAGATTAGCAGCTGTCCCATCATTTCGCAATAATAAGGTTCTAGCCTTCGAAGTATGAGACGAAGCCTCAACCGTCGCAGGATGAGAATAGCTACTGTTGGTTTTAGCGGTACCTGTTTCTACTGTTGTTGCCACCACTATTTAGTTCTTTGCCCTGACAGATCACTTCTGTCTGTTCGTGCTTTCAATTTTTTTTTTCTGCAGAAATAGCTGCCTAATGGCAGTAACAAGACTCCATCTGGGCTAAATGCGAGTAGCCTGCTGTACTTCATCTAGGTTTCTTCGCCTCTTGTTTCCTTTTTAGCCGGCCAGCCATAGTCGGAATCGCAGATTCGTCCATTGGACAGATTGAAAAGCTTTAATTCAAACAGCTTTATTAATAATTGTCAACGACTGACTTCAACGACAGCTTATTTCGTTAGCACGAATAATTTAGCACCAGTAAACACATTATCGTACCCCATTTAGATCCTTGGAGTTTCAGTATTTTTTGCTCAGGCTTGTCGTTAGCATATTTTTAGGCACCACATACTTTGCAATAGCATTTCATAGCAGCTATACTTTCGATACTATCGGACCTGCATACAGCGGAGTATCCAATATAGGCCAGGATCACATCGAAATTTAACACTTTGCTGAGATGTAGAGACTTTCTATTTCAGCTCACTGAATCTACACGGAACGAGCACTAGCACTCTATCAAACGGGCCACATTTGCTTTTCTATCGTTGTTCACCTGAAGGTACTCAAATATATTTCAGTTCTAATTTAGTTAAACGTTTTTATCTTTTCAGCTGCCCGTACCTGTTCACGAATATCGGTCGATGGATCCCTGCAGTGGCGGGGGGTCTATTTATATTTGTAATGCTCTCGTTGTTTAGGACGTCATTCTCTGATCCGGGGGTGATACCCAGGGCCACACCTGAAGAAGCTGCCCACATCGAGAAACAGATAGGTACGTGGTTTCGACTGACACAAGTTCCGATTAAGCTGGTCATATTTTTGCCTAACGTATTTATAGTTGTCCTTTTATCCAAAATCAGACTCAAATTAAAAATCGAGGGATAGAATTCTCGTATAAATAAAATGTTGAGACTGTACTAAGAGCATGCTAAACGGTGCATGTCGTCTACATTTGTGTACTTCTCTTAGAGAAAATTAGGCAATTCCGTGAATAAATGCTAGGTATTTCTAGGCAGCACATATACTGATACATTTCAAGCAATGGTTTTTGATAGCTTCTTTTTGATGTTATACATCTATTCAGCCTCTTGGCAGGGCTAATTCATAATAATTGTCGCCTAGTGCAGCATGATTATTAATCATCATAGCTTTCACGGAGCGCCAAGGATAATGAAATTGACAGAAGTTAGGGTTGAAGGAACGAAGTGATTGGGCATAGGTCTTATGAAAGGAATGAGTCAAGTGAGGTCGCCCGTGTACGTGCTTTCCTAACCTAATTACTCACGCTGCAATCGAAATGGATGGAGGTATATGCACTTGTCGGCATTAGTTATGGCTTAATAATGAAGCAAAAAAAAAAAAGGAAAAAATTGGACCATTTCCGGTCATATTGCGTTGCATTTTAATATACATTTTTTGAAGATCAAGACTGCTGAGCCTTGTCTTTCTGTATTTATGCTCTAATGAATATCCTTCTAAGAGCATATAGCCATGAAATGCTGACGCTGAAATCTTCGAACTCTGCAAAATAAACAACGAATTTGTCTAGTTCAATGCAGAAATAATCGGTACTAAATAGATGTGATTTGTGTTTGTGATCTAGATTTTAACGTGCATTGTCTGGTGCCGTTTACAACAAGCTATATCGACGGTTTTTTTTATAGTTATCTAAGCGTTCAGGTATGAATTTAGCAATTTCAAAAAAATCTCACATCAATCAAAAGCTTTAGATAAGCTGAATAGTAATGCGAGACATACGAGCCGAGTAAAAATTCGTTACACATTCCTTTAGCTAAACCAGATGTTTCAGCGTGAAAAGGGCCAAAAATCGGACGGTGTAGCTTTTCCGATCAGGTGAAACTGAGACCAAAATTTTTTACACTGAAGTTTATCCTAGGAGATATTGCCAATCAAAACTTCTAGATGAATTGACGCGGAATGCAATACATATTGATATATCTACATCTTAGTTTTGTCGTTTGGAAGGTGAATTTAATGTTATATGTAGAAGTTTTGTTGATGTCAATCGATAGATCTCGATGAGTGCAACACATATATCTGTACATAAACTTAACATTTTTGAGTGAAAGTTGCGAAAAATATGCTGGCTCTCTTTGCGTTTCAAAAGCGCTCAAAGAATTGCCTGAAAATGTGTTTCAAGCAATTCTTTGAGCGAATTTCTAATACATCTTCACCGTAAATTTAAAACGATAGATGTAGAGCTTGTTTTCGTCAAAAAAAGGTTTCGCTAGTTTCTTTCAGAGAGAACAAATCCAAAATATCGCAAAGATGTATGTGTAATAGTTCTTTTTAGAATGGAACACAACAAAAGCCCTGTAAGTGTATTATGGAAAACTGGCCAAAAGCCAACGTAACACGATAAAGACAAATCTAGGGACGGCTGAGTTCCCTGGTAAACCTTAGAAAGGACTGATGAATGAGCAGGATTACAAAAGAGAAAGAGATTAGATGGAACAGGATAACTGTAGTGGGATAATTATTGATGCATATTTATTTCAATCTGTATTAGTTGGCTGGATGTAAAATCAACAAATGAAATAAATCAATGGCAAAACAAGCGTGGGGTGAAGGCCGCAGGTTCTTCTAGTACTACTATATGTTCGTTTATTTGAACAGCGCTAGCTGGTAACAGTGACCGTGATGACGATGACGACGTAAGTGAAGATGCACATAAATATTTTGGAAGCATAAATTGGTAGATCAATAGGGTGTGTTATGCTTTGCGCGCAACTGGCAAAAGCGTGGACGCCCTTGAAAGGGCTCCGCAGTAGTGCCCTGTGGTAGTAACGTATATGTATGCAATTAAAATAACTTGGTTTCATCCAGACCAATAGCTCCGGCTTATCGCAGACAGCTTAAAATAGAGATAACTACTATCTTCGCGCGATCACCGGATCATCTGTAGTACGGCCCAAATCGTCATAGATAACCAGAGATGCCATTTTCCTGGAAACACCTATAAATGCCTCAAGTGTTTTTTTTTTCTAATTATGACTCAAATTATATCCTCACACCCAAATTAACTTTGTTTCTCATCCCTCATGGGATCGTAACTTATACAATGCACATCTCAACAGAGATTCGACTCACTCATTCCAATGTTTTTTTTCATCTTACCCTTCGCCTCCCCCAGCTTCCTGTCTATTTGCAGTTTTGGCGTACATAGTCTTCTATTGATCTGAAAGGAAATGACATGATCTATCATGCTAAGAACATAAATGCGGGCAATTGCTTAATGCTTACTTACACTACGATTTGCGAAGTAGAACTACCAATGTAAAGCTGACTTTGATCAAAGAGCTGTAGACACAATCTATCATTGATATTTTCTTCCCAATACAGTGCTTTAGCCCAGTTCTTAGGCGAATACGATATTCATCGCGTTTTTGCCTGCCTCGTACTAATGTTATAGCAATAATAGTAATACTGTTGTTACATCGATTTATCATTATACGTGGGCTGTCGGACAACTGTTTAACTGGTCGGCAGAATGAAGACTTCATGTCGTGGTGGGTGATGAAGCACTAACGTCTAGCCAGGGGCATTCACAGAGGCCGTAAGCACAGAGGGCTGACCAGTAGTTGCCCATGCCGCTGGTGCTGTTCGCCGCCCTGACAAACTGGAGCAGTCGAATCCATCTGTCTTCACGGTTGTGGGGGCAGAAAAACCACTACAACCGCAACTGTTACGAGCAGCGAATGACAACATCTGTAATAACAACCATTGCTAGCATTGCACACAAGCTCACTACTACTTCTCTCCGATAACGTTGATATGACGCTCGTGTATAATCCAAGTTGTGTGTATATACTAGACATCTTTATGAGCGTTACGACAGAATCGAAAAAAGAAATTTAGATGTTGACTGGATTGGCAGTGGCAGCAACTTTCCTTTTGGACGTATTTCGATTAGTTCAATGTTCAATTGGTGATTTCTTAAGGTGGCCAGTTGCTACGTAAATAGAGCCAAGTTTCAACAGAATTATCTTTGCAGTTTGAGCGTTGTCAGCTTTACATCTAACCGTGCATTGCTCACGAACTCGTTCGCTCAGTTACGATGGCATATTAGCTTCAGCTTGACCAGTCACTCTTCCCAGTACCAGAGTGCCCTAAGACTTTTTTTTTTACTGTCGTTGGCGGCGGGTGTCATGCCTTGCGCTGCCTACTTGCGAGCACTGCTTTAGCATCCCACTTCATACCAAGTCAGACCATCCGGCGGTCCGTGAAGCAGACGCTCGCTGCTTGCTTCAGCGTTTCTGACCGCTAGAACCGATTGTTGCTGCTGTTGCTACTGCATGTATGTTGTAATACTAGTTTAATAAACGTCTAATGCAAAGCTACATGTATATTCTGTGGTTCGAATTCTGTTAGCATAGCGCAAATACAGTATGAGTACATGCCTCAACAGTAACCTAGCCCTTATCAAGACCTCATTTGAACCGTTCGTATATGTCGCTCCATGCAAAGACATATATCACTCGATCTAAGCCAAAAGCACAGATATGTAAAACCGAAAGCTATTCAAGCGAACACAGTTGTGAATTCTATTGAAATTTTATCAGTTTGATGACAATGCAAATATGTGCCCTTCTGAAAGATCTAAATATTTAGTGGCATAATAGATTACAACTATATTAAAGAGATACCGCTGTCCTGTGGTTAGATCCTTGAACTGTTTATCGTAATAGCTATGCTCTACATAGCTAAGGGGGGGGATACAACCTTCCCATGTTATTCATTATTGAGGCCATCATTTTAATTATTCCTATCCTGTGATAGTTCTATTAGTGATGAAATCGGAAATTTTGTGCATATAAATGATAAACAGTCATGCCTCTGTTTATCACAGGTACGACCTATCGCTGCGGTGAAAAGCAGTGAATCTACTAGTCTGGTCATCTTCAATTCAGGCTCAACAATGACATCAAAGGCAATCCAATATCTATCTGTCCATCATCTAATCATTTTATCCCCGCAACTCCCACTCATATATACGTTATGTTGCGTACTGCTATTGCTAATGCTGTTGTGACGAGTACTATAGCCGAGCGCTGTCTGACGTTTCCGGTTACGGGCAAGTCGTCTAACTTATTTTAGGCCGAGAAGAACGTCGAGAGAGAGATTCTACCACACGATCGAACGCCCTCTGCGTGAAAGTGTTGTCGCGATGTCCGAAACGCCTGCCATTATTGTTGTCGACGTCGCTTACGTACACTGCGCACGGCGTGCAGTGTTTGAGGCGTTTTTGATTATATGTTACTTGCCCGGCCAGATGTATCCGCGCAAAAAGCGGGAGTTCTGCCACGTGTAGTAGTGGGAGGCCGGCCGGCTAGGGATGTTTTATGTATGGACAGCAGTATTACTGTTTTATGTTGACGTTGGTACTATGTGAAACGATGCTACAATACGAATCAAGGAGGATTAAGAGAAGTAAGAGGGAAGCCTGTAGATCTATTACGCCTGAGGGTCTGACTCAGCTGAATGAACTAAAATCGCATATTTTATGATAGGCTATTCGATGCTGCTAAGGTTACGTTTAGGTGTAATGCCTAACCAAGGTTGATATCATTATTGTGGATATTTTATACGAAAAACACTGACGGTATAGAGAATAATCCTGTCGTCGAAAAGTTCTCGAAGAGAGGCCATCCTTGAGTAACGTAAAAGATAATAGTAATTATCATCTCGCAGTACAAAAGATTTTTCGAGATCGTTTCGTTGAGTACACTTTTAGTGCTCATTAAACGTGGA